CAACTGCGATGGCTACACCAATTCCATATTCACGCTTTCCATATCGAGCGCCACGCAAGCTGGGTAAGGGGTTCATCATACGAGCTGGAATGGCTATGCATATAATTGACTTATTCACATTTCATATTTCAGCTTCAAGCCCTGGTATTTGGAAGAATGTTCCTCTACGCTGGCCACAACGTACAGCTCGGGAACGCCGGGACATGACAAGAGCGTGGCCACGGTAGACATGGACGGACGCCTGCGACCCGACCACATTTGCACGGTGGAGCACACTGGCACATCGGCATCAGCGCCGCTAGCGGCCGGTATATGCGCCCTGGCGCTTGAGGCCAATCCGGGTATAACATGGCGCGATATGCAATATCTGGTGGTGTACACATCGCGACCGGGGCCACTCGAAAAGGAGAGCGGCTGGACGCTAAACGGTGTAAAGCGCAAATATAGCCACAAGTTTGGTTACGGTTTGATGGATGCGGGTGCTATGGTTGCCCTTGCGGAACAGTGGAATTCGGTGCCGCCGCAGCACATATGCAAATCACGGGAGAACAACGAGGATCGTAAAATCGAGGGTGCCTACGGCTACACTCTAGCGACGCATATGGACGTAAATGGCTGCGCTGGCACCATTAATGAGGTGCGCTATTTGGAACATGTCCAGTGCCGTATCACATTACGTTTCTTTCCGCGCGGCAATCTGCGTATTTTGCTCACCTCGCCCATGGGCACAACGAGTACGTTGCTTTTCGAGCGGCCGCGTGACATTGTTAAATCCAACTTTGATGACTGGCCGTTCCTCAGTGTACACTACTGGGGCGAAAAGGCCGAGGGTCGTTGGACACTGCAGGTGATCAACGGCGGTCGTCGTCGCGTCAATCAGCCAGGCATTCTATCCAAATGGCAGCTGATATTCTATGGCACCTCGACGCAACCTATGCGACTCAAATCAGAGCTGCTGAATACGCAACTACGCAACAGTCCAATTGCGAACAATCCATTTATATTCTCATCGGCCTCCAATATCGGCCAGCCGGCCAACGAAGGTGGCAACTTCAACACGGACAATTTTGCCAGCTATCTCAACTACCAAAACATATTCAGTAGCGCCGGTTCCAGTCCAGAGGTGGCAACGGCAACGTTAGACGGACACAATGTGTCGACCGCAACAGCTGCTCAGCTATCGAACGCACTGCCCAATGGAGATAACAAGCTCATACTATATTCTTGTGATGCCGAGTGCGATTCGCTTGGCTGCTACGGCCGTGGGCCCACACAGTGTGTGGCATGCAGCCATTATCGTTTGGATAAGTAAGTAAAATTTTCAGCCTAGCCTTAATGCCATTGCAGATCTCTTTTTAATTGTATTGATTAACATTTAAAGTTATAGACCTATATACATATATATTCTTGATCAGCCCAAAGTTGATCTAATCATCTCCGTCTGACTGTATGAAGGTCGCAGAGGGTGCTCGTCAGTGTAGATTTAAACTTGTGAAATTCAAAAAAGATTTATACTTACTTTTCCATCAATGTTATATATTTTTGGATATTTGCAAATGCTTAGCATCCTAGCTCTTAACCAGGCTATCCACCAGCACAAAAAGTCTGATAGGGTATTGCATTTTCGGCTTACAAAATTTAGCTTTTTCTTATCCCCCACTTATTGCTTGATATCGTTTAAAATTTGCATGTGCAGCACCTGCGTTAGTCGTTGTCCGCCGCGATCTTTTCCAAATCAAGTGGGCATATGCTGGCCATGCCATGATTCCTGCGAAACGTGCGCAGGAGCTGGACCAGACAGCTGCCTCACATGCGCGCCAGCACACTTGCATGTTACTGATCTCGCCGTTTGTCTGCAAGTTTGTCCCGACGGTTACTTTGAAGGTGGGTGTGAGCGGCAGCAACTGCTGCATTGAATACGGCTGACAGTTGCTAATATTGTTGCTTCCTTTATAGATGTGAAGAATAGGACTTGTGTGCCATGTGAGCCGAACTGTGCATCGTGTCAGGACCGTCCCGAGTACTGCACTAGCTGTGATCATCATCTCGTTATGCATGAGAACAAATGCTATTCAGCTTGTCCCTTGGACACATACGAAACGGAGGAGAACAAGTAAGATCTACACGTCTCGACTGTTGGGCATTATGATATATATTTTGTTTTGTTCTTGCATCACTTGCAGATGCACCTACTGTCACTCCTCGTGCGCCACATGCAACGGAGCTACCGAAAATAATTGCATTACTTGCCGCCCCAGCCGCTATGCCTGGCAGAACAAATGCCTAAACAACTGCCCCGATGGTTTCTATGCCGATAAAAAGCGCTTGGAGTGCCTGCCTTGCCATGAGGGCTGCAAGTCGTGCAGTAGCAATGGCATTTGCACGGAATGTCTACCCAACTGGACGCTCAACAAGAAGGACAAATGCATTGTAACCGGCAGTGAAAGCTGCTTTGAATGTAGGTTTAATGTTTTTCGACTAGTATGTAAAGTTGTTACTTACCCCGTTTTTATTCCTTCTTAAATGCAGCGGAGTACTATAGCCAAAGTGAGGTCAAATGCAAGCCATGTCATGACTCCTGCGAGACCTGCAACGGACCAATGTCTTCCAATTGTCTGTCTTGTCATCAGAATCGCTTGCTAGAGCAGAGCAGCTGCGTGAGTGGCTGCCAAGATGGTTTCTACATGGAAACAGGCGTATGTACGCCATGTTTACATACTTGTACTCAGTGCGTATCCCGCACCAATTGCAGCAACTGTTCCAAGGGTCTCGAACTACAGAACGGCGAGTGTCGCACAACGTGTGCCGATGGGTAACTGGCATAATTTACAACAGAATGAGTGAAACATTTACCAAATGTAATCCATCTTAAATGCAGCTACTACAGCGATCGCGGTATCTGTGCCAAGTGTTATCTCAGTTGCCACACGTGCAGCGGACCGCGTCGTAATCAGTGCGTGCATTGTCCGGCTGGCTGGCAGTTGGCAGCAGGCGAATGCCATCCGGAATGCCCCGAGGGATTTTACAAATCGGATTTCGGCTGTCAGAAATGTCATCACTATTGCAAGACCTGCAACGGTTGGTTGTGCCATGTTCATGTATAAGAACGAATTATAATTGAAAATGCATGTATATTTTAGGTGCTGGCCCACTGGCATGCTCATCGTGCCCCACACACTTTATGCTCGATGGCGGCCTTTGCATGGAATGCCTGAGCTCTCAGTACTATGATACAACAACACAGACGTGCAAGAGCTGCCACGATTCGTGCCGGTCGTGCTTTGGCCCCGGTCAGTACTCGTGTAAGGCATGCGCTCCTCCGCTTCATTTGGATCAATTGAATAGCCAATGCGTGCCCTGCTGTCAGAATAAAAGCTCTGGCGACAATGAAACTGGATCTGAGAACTGTTGTCATTGCGACAAGGACACAGGTAAACATTATTAATAAAATGTGTTTCAGTTGCTTTAACAGATGGACTTACATTTGCATTTCAGGTGAATGTAAGACTGTCTCAACAGCTGGCAAGCGCCGCACCGTGGTGGGATCCGACAGTATTTTTAGAAACATGGATCGAGCAGCAATTACCGACGAGGGCAACAGTGGCTCATTTGCCTTGCGTCTCGACTCACCACTGACTGCAATCACAGCAATTGCGGTTGCCATCTGTTTGTTAATCATAACGATATTCTCCATAATATTTGCCGTTCTACAGGTAAACAATTTTCATTTCCTCTACCTCTCTCTGTACAACCAAACCTGACTCTTACCATGTTCTTTACTCACTTGCAGCGCAATAGTAATCATGTATCGAGGAATTCGGTTCGCTACAGGAAAATAATAAGCAGATCAGGTGGTCGGAAGAGCGATCCGAGCAATGAAGCTAGATTTATATTCAATGTGGGTGACGACGGTGACGATACGGAAGATAATACGGATGATGATTTGGATGTCCACGCTAGGGCTATTAAGAAGGTCGTCTACGAACCCAATGGTCCAATGAATGGAAACGAATTTTTTATTAAAAGTACAAATGATATTGATGCGGTCGAGTTTCATTGTAAAGGTGCTGGTGTGAATAAATCAAAATTCGATACCCAACGCAATGCAAACACAAACACCGAATGTAGAAGTCCCACGTATATGAATCAGGCAAACACTAGCCGAATGAATAGTAAGATTGTTCAAAGCTGATTCATTGATAAATTGAATGTGAATGCACCAATAGCAACAATTTCAACAACAGCAACACCAACAACTTTGATCCTGAATTTCTTGCTCTGGACTAGTAAATTTTAACCTTACTTGAGGAATATAGCCAATCGAAATATTTAACATCCGAAATGATAAAAATTTATATGTGATTGTGAATTGTTTTTATATATATATATTTGTAAATTTAATGTTTGTATTAAATTTTTATGAAAAATGTTATGTCAAGTTGAACAAAAATATGTTTTTTTTTCTCTTTTTTTTGTACTTATCCTGTGCAACAGGAGCCGTTTTGAAAGGAACTTGGTATGTGTATATGCATGTACATATGTATAAGTATGTAGAGTATGATGTTAGAGTATGTAAATGCAAATGCAAATGAGCGACAATTCCTTATGATATTCACTTTATTTTGAATATTAATTTAAAGTATCAATAGAAAAAACATTCTTTCACTTTATTTACAGGAAAATATACATGTGTATATAAAAATATCAAATAGCCATATAATACATATCTGTTGCATGTCTGGGTAAATCTATTCAAAAACTTCAATTTTATAAGTATATTTCGATATTGGCTATGTTCAAAATGTGTGCGCTGCATAAATTCGTTGCATTTTCAAATGTTGAATATTAATATTAAATGGAATACTTGGTCACGGTTATTTCGAACAATGCATTTGTACGTATGCACAGACTTTTAAGCAAATTATCATCTGTTCTGTATAAATGTACAAGTTCATACATACATACAAAATATTTGAGCAGGTTGTTTTTAAATGCATACATTTATAAGCTACATACACTGGCATATGTACGTGCATATGCGCTTTTTGTTTTAATCTTTATTACTATATCTATATCTATGATATTGTACAGTCGCAGCACATGAGAGAATAATAGAGACATTTAACCACCTTTTCGTCATTGTCCTCGTAAGGTGCCATTCCTTGCTTTTCCTTGATTTTGCGGCCATCCAATTGATCCGATTCCTTGGCATCTATCATTTTTTTTGATTTTTTACGTTTGTTTTTGTGCATCAGTTCACTACAGTTGCGCTGCTGCACCATTTCATCTATCCATTCGAAATTTGTGTTTACCTGGTTTCTATTGAAACTGGAAATACTTTCGATGGAGTTTATGTCATCCTGCTTAAAGAAAGAACAAAAGTTATAGTCTTATTGTTACACCGCGATCTTAATTCCATGGACCTGATTGTTGTTGTGGTTCCTGTATCTGCTCTTATGTGGCGAACTGTTGTTGGCCGCTGCCTGGTTGTGGGCTTTGCGGTTTGCTAATGGAGATGAGTTAGTGGTTATCGAAGCTGTTGTTCCTGCTGAGCTATTTAATACGACAGCCGATGTGGACAAATCTGTTTCGCCGATTGATGGCACCTTCGGCAAATCATCAGGGTTTAAAATATTGTGCTGTTGTTAGGATCAGAGTTCAGAATTAGCTAATATGTATGTCTCTCAGACTTACTAAATCAAGAATTTCAACTGTTGTCACAACAATTGGGGATGCCATTGCTGTTGTTGAGGGTGTCGACGGAGCCAGCTCCGAGAGTGGACTATTTAAATTTGGAGATATTGCGGCAACTGGAGTTGTTGGCAGTGTGGCGCATTCTGAGACAGCCGTAGCATCATCTGGTGTTATGTTATTACGATTCAGGGAATCGCCTTTTACACTCTTCACAAGCGTTGAGGACATGGCGCCCAATAGAGCCAATGATGATGTCGAAGCACCGTTGATTTCCGGTGAGGGCCTAAAAGAATACAATGTGATAATCATAACAAATATCTATATATAAATGATCAATTCACCCCAGCATCGAAGCTTTGAATGTTTTTAAATATTATATATCTTTTCTTTTGGTATATACTACAAAAAAAAAAAAGAACAACAACAAAAACACAGTTAAAATATTGAAGTTTGGCTTGGCCTGCTGATGTTTTTTATATGTTAGCTTACATATATGATTGTCAACAGAATGTGCTTAATGTTGCGGTCGCTCATATTTTTTATTTACATAGTAAGTATCTGGTATGTTAGCTGTTTTTAATATGTATTTGCAATATACTCACAAGTCAATTAGTTCACTTTGGGCCCTGCTGCCGCCCAAGCTCCACACCTCGCTTTTCTTTTGGGTGGGCGAATACGAGATGTGTTTGTTTGTAGAACTCAATCGACCTTTCGGATGGCTTTTTCGTCCTGGTATCCACAATATGCGCAAACCAGACGTTTTGTTTTTCTTAGATGAATTGGAAGCCATCTGAAAATCAACGCCCCGTTTCAAACATTACACACATAGAAACAGCACACAGACAAATGAATATTCACATGCACGCGTGTACATTCAAATTAGGCCCGTGCTCCTTGCTCCTTTGGCAACTTGAAAGCCGACGATCCAAGCAATTAGATATTTTTGTACGATACAGTTCCCACTTAGCTTTTGTAATGTGATTACAACTCTCTATTTTTGCAATTGTTGATATTGTTGGTGCAAGCACACACATACATACATGCATGTGCGTGATACGATATCTGCCACTGTTGACGTTTAGTTATTGACAAATACGATAGCTTGAATGTGCTTTATGTGCATAAATTACTTAATACCAGAATTTGCGGGTTTTATCCCAGATTAGAACCGTATTACGTTACGTTATCCTTCACCTAAATTCCCTTGTAAATGCTGCGACCTTTAAATTGTGCAAATCAGTTTTACCAAATAAGCCAAGATTCACAAAAAGTGCGTATGTGTCTGTGCGTGCGTGCGTGTGGGGTGTGTGAGCGTGCATGGTCAATGGCTTTTTATGCAAACATACGCACATACATATGTTTGTTTGGTGCAAATTAACAATATAATGAAGCAAAACTTGCTTTTGATACTTTTTTGTAAACACGAGTAGCGATGGCAAATGAACTGTATATTGCACTTACCTCTTCGTCGTGGGGCCTTTATATTATTGTTAAAGGCAATGTTATATGTGCACCAGTTTTTGTGCAAACAATATGCATATGTATGCATATATATATGTAAATATATTGGTTATTTAAAATTGTTCTGTGAAGCGTTTGTGGATTTGTTTACAAATTAAGCCGAGATTCTGTCTTGTTTGGACGGATTTGGTAAAAAGGAGTTCGCTGAAGTATTGAAAGTTTTAATTAGAATTTGTAAAAACACAAAAAATACAGTAAGTTAGTGATGTCAAAAAACATTAACAATTTTGATATTTAAGACATCGATGTATCGATTAAGTCCAGCGCAAACCTATCGATTTCTCGAATTCTTATCGGCCTTATGATAAGCATAAAAAGTAGCTAAGAAACAATGTGACCACTGTCTGCGATTTAAAAAATAATATACATAAGTAATTATTGAGTGAGCCGGGCGAAAGCATCTCCTTAGCGTGTCACAAGAAGTATATGTATGCAAAAAAGAAATGCATTCATATGTATCAATATATATTTTTGCATGCACCTTTTTGCTTACATACATACACGTACATACGCATTCATTAAGAGTTGTAGACCAAAACTTCCAATTATGAGACGCAGTCCTCTTAGCCGTCTAATCAGCCACTTACGCACACATGCATGTGAATATGTGGTTTGTTTCTCTGAACAAAAACTCACGGATTCTAAATATATAACATATTCCTGAGAGCAACGTAGAATTATCGAAACGACATGAGCATGTAATATACGGGCCAGCTTCGAGCCCAGTCTCCCCGTGCTCGTGCTGCACTCAGCAATCCGTTGTTCGCGTGTAGACGTAGGTAATTTGTTAGATTATTTATATTATTCTTGCTGTATATGTATCTTTTGCATATATATATATATATACACATATATATATATACATAGTGCGAATATTGCCTGCAAGTTTTGGTAAATACCAAATTGTTTATACAATTATCTGCCAAAGGAGATACAACCGGAAAAGCGAGTGGACAGTAGAAGGAAATATTTTATGCTTCCTGTAGTTACGAAGATAATTATATGTATATGTATATACACATCGCTCCAAACTTTCGCCGCTCAAAAATAGTCGGCGCCAGCTAGCGGTGTGTACATGTGCACACAAACAAGAAAATACGTTGAAACGGATGAGCGGGAGGATGGGTGGACGGACGCACGGGCAGGCACGGACCCGGTGCGCGCGCCTCTTACAGCCCTCGCCGATTCATCAGCGAAATTTATTTTTGGAGCTCTGGCAAAGCAGCGACATTTTTATTTAGACTTAGAATTTGTTTTTATGTTTTTCGACATTAACATACAATTCGACAACTTCTACATCTCGGTACGACTGCGGGTTCAAAGAGCTTCAATTGAATCTGCAATAAAAAAGTGTAAGAAATCAGAACAAGTGCATTTGAGATATGTGTATGTACACATATTTAGATAATATACATATGGTTCTATATCTGCTTACATAGGCATCATTTTTACCGCAAATGTTTCATACCAATTCAAAAATTATTTTTGTACAAATTTTGCAAGTTATTGCTTAAATTTGTCTATAATTATATAACGTTTGTAAAACCAAAAAGTTGAATAATTATTGCAGTTGTGAGTCAAAAAAAAAAAATACCATTTGAAAGCCAACAAATAATAAATACTATTATTCGTGTCTATGTAATTATATTTGCATTTTTTAGAGAATGTCCCCATTTTAGGAATTTGTGTACTCCACGAGCTATGTACACTTAGGCCATATGCATTAAGATTTCACTCAAAACCTCAACTGCTATTATATTATTGCACAATTTGCACTTTCAGAATATCATCCGTGAAGGCAGGATACAAGATCAGCTGTGATCATGGACCCGGAAGCGTTTTTGGATGTGGCCAATCAGGTCATCAAGCTAAAAATGTTTCCGTTCTTTGATATCGCGCACAGTTTACTTGCCGCGCTGGCCGTGCGCGAGGATTTAGGCGCCAACGCTCAGGCCTTCTCCAGGAAGCATCCACTGGCTTGTTGGCTATCCACAATGCTGGTGATATTCGCGGGTGGCATGGTGGCCAATGGATTACTGGGGGAGCCCATATTGGCTCCATTGAAGAACACCGGACAGCTCCTTGTGGGCACAGCTGTGTGGTTAGTCTCAACACTATTATATATGGTGTGAATGCATAAACTAGCATTGGAAAATTGCTTTTGCAGGTATATAGTATTTTATACACCCTTTGATATTGGATACAAGGTGGCTAAATTTCTGCCAGTGAAAATTGTCGCCAGTGCCATGAAGGAAATATACCGTGCAAAGAAAGTGTATGATGGCGTCGGACATGCTGCCAAATTGTATCCAAACGCGTGGATAATCATGATCATAATCGGCACTCTAAAGGGCAATGGCGCTGGTTTCACTAAGTTGATCGAGCGCCTCATTAGAGGCGCATGGACACCGACGGCAATGGAATTCATGCAGCCATCATTGTAAGCTAATAATTTATCTCTCTCTCCCCGTTTTTATGATAGAATACTTTGGTTTGTTTCAGCTATACGAAAGCATCGTTGCTAGCCTCCATTATCTTCGTGCTGGACAAAAAGACCGATTGGATCTCAGCGCCACACGCCTTAGTTTACTTTGGCATTGTTATATTCTTGGTGTACTTTAAGTTGTCATCCATCTTGTTGGGCATTCATGATCCCTTCCTTCCATTGGAAAATCTGTGCTGTGCAATCTTCTTTGGTGGTATTTGGGATAGTTTGGCCAAGATTTTGGGACGTGGCCAGGCCAAGGATGGCGATAGTAAAGACGTTAAGAAAAGCAATTGAACCATTTGTAAATTAGCTCAAAATTTTTAAACGCTGCCAACCAAAGCTACAATTTATTAATATCGAACGAACATTATTAAATTGACCCATAAGTAAAATATGTACTGATATCTGTATTTATACAAGATTCGATGTACAAAATCAAATTCAATGATAAGCAACAAGTGGGTGTGTCTGCTCATCTTTGACTCTGATTTTCCATTTATATTTTTAGTTCTGTTTTTAAATTTGTAGTATATTTAGGGACTATCAAACTACGTAAACCTAATTTTTTTTTGTTTCTAATGACGACTGAAAAACTCAGAGTAGGACGACGACTAATAAATGTACGATTTGTGTCTGCAGTATAATGATATCTGGGCAATTGCTGAGGGTTTGTAGCACAGTCTTCGGCATGTCGAAGCTAATTCATATTTGTAAACAAAGTATCTAAAAGTCATAGGCGTGGCATGTTCTATTTTTTTTTCAAACCCGCTAGATGTAAATATTTAAGTCATTTTTTGAAAAATGAAATTTTGTTAAATATTACATTTGTTTGGGAGTATATCTCTGGAAGTCATACTTTTAAAGAGTTCATCACAGACGAGTATATATACAATAATCGGACTATTTAGTGTATATTTATATGTAAACACGCTTTCATACAATTGAACGCCTTTGTATGAGATACTAATGATCATTGGTTGAAATAAATCTATGTGATTTGAATTTGTCAAACGTTTTTTACCCTTTTACATATATACAAATATCGATCCGAGTGAGAGGGGACGAAATCGAGGGAAGTGCGAAGAGTAAGACAACAACAAATATCATCTGTATAATAAAAATATGAAAATTGAAAACTGGACTTTTACTGATTTACATACATGAATGTGGGCTTATAGTAAAAAAATTTTGTACTTAAATCGATAAAAAATTGTCTTCTATACAGTGGTATAATGCGCCTTACAGTGAACTGAAACAAGAGGTAAAATGTGGTTAAGATTAATCAAAAATGCGACTTTGTATCTTGGAGGCATACCAATGAATTCCGAGACGGGATCATTGTCGCCCTCGCCGCGCATTGTGCCAGTGATCTCCTCATTTTCAACCATCGGCAGAAAGAGTTGCACAAATTCTGCCGAGTAGGGATGTGTTATTGTTTCAAGCACTTCGGTAACAAAGTACCGAATCAACGAAATGTCCGTGTCCTCGATTGCACAGCATTGCTTGATGTATCGCAGCACTGGAACAACGCAGCCGCGTGTCAGCAGATTAACCATACGATCTAGAATCATCTTTTTCATTTCAAGTTGCACAAGTATCTCCAATTCATCCTGCTTGGATTCGAATAAACGGATAAGTAAAAAAAGTATTTGCTGCTGCAATGTTGGATGCACCCCAGCTACTTCATCGAGCACTGCCAAATGTGTGGGACAGCTGTCCGTAGATAGTTTAAAGTAGGATGGTTCCATTACAACATTTTCTATCCATCGGATTACCCCAACACCGACAACTGGATACCTATACGGACAAAAAGCGCGAGAATAAGCTACATATGGTCAGTATTACGATTAAAATACTTACTTTATGCAATTGTAGAGAGTCTGCAGCTCGGCTATAAGCTCAGTGGAGCCCTGGTCTACATTGCAAATAGCGTGCGCCTTTTCAATAGCCTGGATGGTGCTCTTCAGTTCGTCTTTATTTAGTGTTCTTTCTGTCAAGGGCCTCTTCTTTGCGGGGTGGTCAATAACAGACGACGCATAGGCCAGCAGGAAAACGTATTTGGGCTTATGTTCCGGATTGATTTTGACACCAGAACGAAAAAGCGCATCAACCAATAGCTCCAAAAACTGTGGATTCCGTATAAGGTCTATCGGTGGCGGATCAGAGCCCGAATAGTTACGAAACAGAACGGTTATATCCGCTGGATTTAGGGTATTGCGGGTTAACATCGAGGTAAGCGCCTGACACGCCTGCGGATATACCGCCGAGCCATTCAGAGCCATTGTTATAGGCGTCACATTCTGATTGCTGAATCAAATTAAAGGAAACAAAGAGAACAAAATTAGTAGTAGTAACCAGGAAGGTGGCAAGTATAAGTGAATCAAATGTACTTTTGTAAGGCGTATTTAATGATTTCCTGGGATAACCGCTTCATATTGAAGCCACCTTTCTGTTCCTGACTGAGCACTTGTATCAACACCTGCGAGTAGACGTACGTGTGCTGGCCGTGGCACACCATCCGGGCACACTCCTGAATGGCGCCGTGCACATCATCGGGATTATTCAGAAATTTAACAATTGATGTTTTGAGAACGCGGGAAAACACTTCAATTTGTTGGGCGGCCGTAGAGATAGACGTGATTTCACTTTGGAATCCGGCATCTGATATCAACTTAATTGTAAAGTTGAGCATCAGACAATCCGGATATTCTTCAGCTAGTCGATATATTAAAGATCGCCACGTATAATGATCGATCATTTCTGTTAGCCAGTCCGGTGTCTCACCCTCCTCGGTGAATATTGTATCCGCTTTTTTCGGATCAAACGACTTTAGAATCATTTCCTTTAAATGGTTCTCTACCATCGCCTGGACCTCTGTTACCTTCACACCAGCTAGAATTAACCACTCGGCCAGCAGATTTGCCATCTGGGCCACCGCTTTATAGTTTTCAGATAACATTGAAATCACTTCTTCTGGAGACCCGCCGGATTGGAAGTAGCGTTTGAGCTGTGTAAAAATCCCAGGCTCCATTATGTAGTCGGGCGTTAGAAATTTTTCTAAACATTCTTGTATCGTTTTTTGTGGATTATCTTCGTGAAGTTCCTTTATTTAGAAACAAGTGTATAAGAATAAACAAGTTTTTTGTTTTGATTCGTGGTTGGCTTGGCGTTGACATAAACGTCAAATTTGATGTTTACCTCGGTAGTCGACTGTTGTTTTGTACGGCCCTGCCAGCCGGAATCATCGTATTCCACTTCCATTTTTACACTATATTCACTAATTAAAAACTTTTTATCTTATTATTATTGTATTTTATTTGCATTAGGCATGTTAACAAAAATATCGATGCATCGTCATTATCGATAACCACGGGGAAATATTCGATAATTTCCAAGCAACTGCTTTCTTAGGGTATACGCTGAGTTTTTCTGTTTCTAAACTTAGAGAAAAAAGCAAGAACAAAAATACATACAATCAATCAGCTGAATTTTGAGCTTTTATATAACAAATAATATCTTAATAAAACATTCGATACGATGTGGCCAATTCTGAATAATCGATAAGCGTTTGCATCCCTTAGCGGACTGCCAACCAAGCAAGCTAATAATTGGCATTTATTTTTCATTGCACAGCTGTACTTATTGAAATGTGTGCAGCCCTGGCACTTGGCTATCGAGGAGTATCGAAAAGCAGTTGCTTCGATTGATCGAAATATTTGTTAACAGATAACAGTCGGTTTGATTTAAAAGTGAAATACAAATTATTTCCATTAATTTTACTCATGGTATATTAGCATAAACGATTTGTTTTATTAAAGACTAAAATAATATATTTATTGTGCAATAATATATGAAGAATAATAAAAATATCAGGGGAGTTTTCTTTTCAGACAGTTACGATCTAGGATTAATGATTTCTTTCGGCTCTGGTGGGTCTAAAAACATATCGTTAACAGCTTTCATTACAAAGTCGGGAAGCAAACATGCCACTGTACATATAATAATATAGAGCCACATGGGAAGCGAGCTCAAGAACATATTGTAGACGTGATAGAGAGTACTGCTACTGTCCAAATTGTAAAGGTAAGTGCTTAACATAAATGCAAATATTGATGCAATAATAAAGGCAAAGTTGAGATAACTCATGTAGTGTGAAACTAAGAGTACCTTCAGGTTTCCCACAATCACGAGTACCATTATGAGCATAGTTCCAAATGTTGAAAAATCTGCAGTTTGTCCCTCATTGAAGACGACATTATTTTCATTGAGCACGGCGTACGCAAAATAAAATATAATGAAAGTCTGAACGATACCATTTAAAATCCATATCGTAAATGTTTTCCATGAGCTTAGCTTATTGTGCGAAATTGCTTTGTATAGGGTTGGGAATCTGAAATCAGAATTATATTGATTTAAAAATATATGTTATCCTTATTAAGTTGTCTAAGCTCACCTTAACAAGGTGTTCTCACTATAATGCTTGTCGGACATGGCCAGATACGTGAAACTGAAAGATATGTAAATAATATCGAACAGCCATAGGTACAGCTCGTTATAGACGGATGTAGCCGAATATAAGTCATATACTTGAAAGAGCGCCATGCATCCAGTGATAATAATGTTTTTATAGCAATAGAAGAGCACCATAAATGCCAGTCGCTCGGTATTATAATGGCCATGGACCAGCAACAGGCGTTGCAGCATATTAAATTTGGCAATGGAATAATCAGCGCTACGGGCTGCCTGTTTGCCCTCCACACCGGAAATGCCAATGCCAATGTGCGCCTCCTGGATCATGGACACATCATTGGCACCATCACCGATGGCTGCTGTGATATGTTTGCCCGACTTCTTGATAAGCATAACTATTTCGCTCTTTTGAAGTGGACTCAGGCGACAGCAGAGCACAGCCTTGCATTTGAGTGCCACTTCAGCAAATTGGTCGGGCAGATGGCTTAAAAGCGCGGACACAGTAATACCATCGATTACCAGGCAAGTGGGAGTCGATGTATTTGATGCGATGCCCAGTTCGAGCTGATTCAAGCGCTTTCGAAGCTCTTCCGGTTCGGTAATGTTGATAAGAAAATGTACCTCAGCTACTTGCGGTATGTGCTTGCAGGCCATGCCAATGGATAATGCAGTTTCCACCTTGTCGCCCGTTAGTATCCATATCTTTAGGCCAGCTTCCTGTAATGCAATAAGCGTTTTGTCCACATCGTCCTGGAGTGCGTCCTCCAAAGCCGTAGCACCCAGCAGGTCAAGCTCTGGAATGACAATCCATTAGAATTCTTAGAAATCTCACACTACGTTTTAATAACTATCAGTTGAATATGTATTATTATTTGTTTAAGATATTTCTCATAAACTTAAGGATTTATTGAAATTATGAATCACTGTTTAGAAATGTTGTCTAAATATTTAATAATCGATTCAACATCTTTCCAAAGAATTAATATATGTAATTATATTTTGATTGAGTTTATTATAAATCAAATTAAAACTCTGAATTTATTATATTTGTCTGTACTTTAATATACTTTAAAATAATATTCGATGTATTGAACTTCATTTGAAAATATATCTAAATCTGAACTTAATTTATGCTGCACCGGAATTTCATAGCAAATAATTATATTTTGTATATATTTCACTGAGCAGAATTTATACCAAAATTTCAAAAATTTTGTAGATTATTAGAATCTTACCAACTTCAATGCTCTCGTAACACTCTTCGATGAGCTCCTTTCGATCGCTGAGTTGAATATTGGCATTTTTGCATGATGCGAGAAATGTGGCATATTCCTCTTCAGTTAGGGTTCGGCTTGCAACAGCAAGGGTACGTAGACCCTCCTTGGCATATTCCGTTATTTGCACATCCGTCTCAGCAGTCGGAGATGTTTGCTTGCAGCGTGGCAGAATAGCAGCTTCAGCGCCCTTGCTATAAAGCCAGATCTGACCGCTCTCATCCCGAACGATAACGCTCATGCGTTTTCTCTCCGAGCTAAACTCGAGTACATGCAGGCGTTCGTATTGTAAGTCGCCAGCAATTCGGCCTCCAAAGATACGGCTGAGGTGCATCCTATTATTGTCAGTACCTTTAAAAATGAGACCCAATTTGGCGCAGCCCTCAAGTATGGCCTTTTCATCTGGACTGGATGCCTGGTATCTGTCACAAATGTCAGTCGCTATCAGATTATCGTACTCCGATTGAGCTTCGGCGGATTTTTCATCACAGCTTGCCATAACCTCCACTGTATGGCACAAGGACAAGGCCTCAAAAAAGTTCATCACCTCGGCCTGCGAATTGCAACAGATCGGCATTAGATTGGACATAGGATCAGGATTCAAGACTACTTACATCCATTGTGCCCAGCTCGTGGCTTTCATCTGTATCGGGGCTGTACAATTGGGTGTTTTGTAAATGGTAGTTGCGTCCCCCAACGTAGCATTTAAGGAAGATCATTTGATTTTTGGTTAGTGTTCCAGTTTTGTCCGAAAACAGAATGTTGATTTGGCCTAAGTCTTCATTCAAGTTCGATGCATTTACTCCACAGGGTTCATCGGTCTCTTCATCGTACAAACTCAGATCGGATCTCATAAATAGAGCACCAAAAACACGATACAATTCAATATTCATATACATTGAAATCGGCACCATGTAGTTAAACAAAATCAGAAATGATAAAAAGTCCTCAAAGATTTGTAAAATCGCATTGTAGTCTGGGGGCGGTCCCAAGTAGTGTATAGCCGGATAAACGTTGGCCGCCTTTTGCCTGAAAGTAATGCAAAGACGGAAAAAATGAAACATAGCTGATATTACCCGGGTATGCCCGGGCTAACTTCACATAATATAAAGCATTGAAAATACGTTTTTAGCTAAAATGTAACTTGTCAAAGTTATCATCTACTTTCACATGTTGTCAAATCTAGGTCTGATAATTAAAATAATAGTTGGACCATATTTCTGTCAAAATTTACTCTCGGGGCTGCCACAAAGTTGACATTCCGTCCGCCTATAGGTTTATAGTTTTTTGACAGGAGGATCAATTAACATGAGCTTTGCAAAGAACATGATAAAACGGATCTTAGTTTAGTTTCTGAATCTCTGTGTATACTTACCGTTCGATCAGGTAGAGTATAAAGACAACAACTACCATTCCCACAATGAGCGCAATGATGAATTTGTTTATGTATTTTTCGCTGGACGCCGATTTGTTGCCCGTATACCGGCTGTTTAGCTGGAGTTTTGTGGTCATGCCCGTGTAAATGGCACAGCCCACCACTCGCTCCTGGCCCCTGATGCGCACACCACGCAATAACAGGTTCTCGATTCCCAGTGGTATTGGCTCCGGGCTGACCTCTGCCTCGGCTGTGACTTCCACTTCGAGGCGTCCATTGAAGCTGTAGAGGTCGGGCGTCGATGGTTCGCAAACGATGCAACCGAAGCGCCTACTGTGCTCGGCCAGATCGTAAGTGTAGTTGGGTGGTCCGAATATCGGTTTCAGATTGGTCTCGCCGTCCAAGTTGGCCGTGTTCACAAAGCACATGTTCTCTGATCCCGACGAGTGAAGTAATATCATGTCGCATGGCACATAGCTGGCACTAGTTGCTACCACAAGATCTCCCGGCACTATGAATTCCGAATCGATTCGATGTTCCTTGCCATTGCGCATAACGGAAACTGATGAATGAGAAGAAATCGTAGTTAAATGTAAATCCTTTAGAAATTGGGGGATTAAATTGGCAAACCTTTAGTTGTGTTCACAATTTTATCATTTTTCGACCGGGAATAATCCTCCAGACCCTCCTTCAGTGCGGTCACAATCATGACGAAGAGCAGGGGCAGCAGTGATGTTAAGGGAGATATAGTATCATCTGCGTGTTAATTAAAATATATATTTTTATGATCATTTCCCAGATGCACGATTGGTCTGACATACTAACGAAAAATGATACAATCGTGATCAGCAGGAAGTAAAAGTATACGGCCCGTCGAAACTGCTCGTAAAAGTTCAGTGGGATAAAGGTCAGCCAGGTGTACTTGGTCGTTGTGACCCGGTTGAGCGGCGGGTTCTTTCGCAGATCGCCATTACCAATCGATATGCGTAGGGGTTCTTTTTCTTTAGCACTGAAGCTCTTCATTGTGAGATGTGAAAGTGTTTAGCTGGCACTTTCCTGAATTCCATACGTTCGACTTTTTACTTTTATGGATTATAGGCAGAACACGAGCGTTATCTTTCCATGCTAAATACCGACTGAAATTCGGCATACATTTTCCTATTTAAACGAAATCCATAACGTTTTCTTTTTTTTTTTATTTTCGTTTCTTTGTGATACGAACTCCCACTTGGAACAATTACCTGCTAGCCATTCAGCTAGTTCGCGTCGGACAATCGTGTAATCAGACAGTCGGACAGCCTGTTGGACAAAAAAGATGCGTTGCTTTTAAGTTTTTAAGAGACACAAGAAATATTATAGTATAGATTCATAATACAACAATTATAGCATTTACATGCGAATACTTGCATTATAACAACGTACCCGTTGTCGCTTTTGTAGATTAACATTAGCCATAGATTAGATTAAAGCTTGTCAATAGGCATACTCAAGGTAAATTTATTAACTCTGTTTGGGCTGTTTCCCATTTATAGGTAAATACATTTATACACTTGTTTAGTAGTATAATGTGATACTATTTGTCTTAGAACTAGAGAGAGAGCGGCAATCTTCGGCGCGCCGATAATTAAATACCCTTTAAAGGTTTTTGCTTACGACCGATTCGTATACGAACCATATGATATAATATGAAATTCCAAGCTTGCTCAAAAAATTTTAATAAACACACCTGTCGCATTTTTTTACCTTTCTATAAAGTTTTCTATACAGGTAGAGTTCGAATAAGATTTTGCCCATATTTGAGAAGCAATATGCTTATTCCAAATTTGGTTAAGATATCATGACAAAAAAAGTTTTTAATACTTAGAAGAACTTTATTATTGGCCGATTGTTTCAGCTTTATGATATAGTGTGCCGATCCGTTCGATCTGGCCAACAAAAAAATATTTCGCATAGAAACAGATCAAGAATATATGCGTTACACACTTTGTTAGAAAATTATAATACCCTGTAGAAGGGTATAGCAAGTACTTACCCATATAAGTACATCCATGTGTATAAACTTAAGCACCCAAGTGGTCATTGACTTAAACTTGAGCAATTCAAGATTAAATTTTAACATTGTTTCTTTTATTTGCGGCCAATCCTTTTATTTCGGAGCTTTTGTTCGCTCCGCAATCCATCTTCAGCGCCATGTCAATGCGATATAGGTAAAGCCCATATCATCTATAAAAGCTAGTTTGCAAGCTTTGTCAATGGGTTCCATGCTCGACTGATATATTAAGCCTCTAATGAGCTGACTTATGCATTGGTAAGATACACAACCTTTGACGGCGGCGCTGACTAAGTGCCCAACATTTGATAATATCGCTGACTCATCCGGCTGGATTTTTCAACTGGTCGTTCACCTTAAACATATATTTAATATTGTATATTAATTCATGGCAAGTAAATTTACATAATATTTAACTGTCTGCTAATTAAAATGGATCTTTTTTTCTTAAGGCAAGGCTGTCTGTCCTATGTACCAAAGACAGCTCCCATCTAATTTTATTTGTTGTATTCTCATAGATCGTCTTTTAAAATCTATATGCTATAGTTTTAAAAGTAGCCAGATTCTAAATCATGCTGGGAACAGAGTCTTGCGCAGCTTTAGAACTTCAAACTAATTGTTAAAATCTGATCATTAGCTCGACGAATTAGAAAGAATATGAAATGAGTTTAAACTAGAAGCTACATGTCAAGTTTGATGACTCTAGCTCTTATTATTTACCCAATTTGCTCAAAAATCAGGATATCGGAAACCAACTCTATGTTCGAAATTTCAAGTCTCTAGGTCCTATAGGTTCTGAGATCCTTACGTTCATACAAACGGACATGGCCAGATCGACTTGGCTTGTGATGCTGATCAAGAATATATATATACTTTATGGGGTCGGAGACGCTTCCTTCTGCCTGTAACATACATTTACACAAATACATTATACCCTTTTTACCCATTTTCAATGGGTTCAGGGTATAAAATGCTGTAGTTCTATCCAAAGATGAATTTCTTTGCGAGTTTCATTCAGAAATACTTTCAATTTGTCAGTTCAGGTAAAAACGTATTGCATTATTTTTTTTTTTATTAAGCTCTAAAAATGTTGATTTCGAGCAATGTTATTACAAATCTGTGGGCAAAGGTTTTTATAATTTATTCATTAAGTGAAATCGAAGATATGAGTGAAATATTATAGATCTGTCTGTGATTATAACACATTTGGTATTTTCAGCTGTTATGATCTAAATAGGGGTAGATCATAAAACCTTATAAAGAGATCGATTTCTATCGATCTTGTGTAACCCAAAACAAATATGGTCTACGCGTGGAAAAGGAACAGTTACGTTCCAAATTTCCTTCTCTAGCTCGTGGATCGACGCGTTGTTAGTGTTGATCAGGAATATATATACATTTTACGGGGTCGGAGATGTTTTCTTCTGCCTGTTACAAAGCTATTCATAAAACTATTGGACGCTTTTCTACCCATTTTCAAAGGGAACAGGGCATAAAATGTGAAGTACATCAAATTTGCATTTATCAAAGTTCTTTAAAGGTTTAAAATACAAAATGGATGTATTATCTTTTCTTGTAATGCGTTAGGGAAACGTATAGAACAATTTTAGGTCTGACTTGATCTATCTTTTTGTAAGTAATGTGTATTTGATTTTTTTTTGTCACATATGTGGATAAAATTAGGCAATTATGTGGATTGTTTGCACTAATAAAACACTTAGTTATGTGTATATTTAGGTTTTTTGTAAGAAACAATATTAACAAGAATATAATGCACTGCAAACTTTATTTATTTTGATTTAGTCGCATCTCAAACAGAGTATAGCCCGATATTTTACGCAAACTAATTGGTCAGATAAGGCCCTGGACTAACGCAATGGGTGTTGCTGTAATATGTATGTATATATATGTACATATACATATATGAATACTTTGTTATATATTGCGATTCTTGGAGCGTCAGTCAATGCGCGGGTTACGTGTGAGCTAACAGAAATTTTTTAACCCGTCGGCCGGGCTCACAAAAGTATCAGACCAGTGTACTCATGGCCGTGAGTCAAGTCTATGGGGTGTACGGGCTTTGGTGTGTTCGCATGTATGTATGTGTGTGTGTGTATGCCTGTGTATGATTCAATGCTTTAAGATAAGATACTGTTATCGACTTTATCTCTTCGGTTTGGTTCGAAAAAAAAGCTGGCGACAGTCGCTGGTTAAAAGAGAAGACCGTTAGGAATAAAAGTGTACGCTATTTGGGAGTGCCTCCCTGGAAGGGCGTGGAGGAGGGAGCGGGGGTTGGGGGCGGGTGAGGTTACTCCCTGAATCTCAAATGTTATCTATAAAAGTTTCTTCGACATGCATGCATATGTTAATGCGTATGTTAGTTTGTCTGCGCTCTCTTAGATTGATGATCCAGAGAATGAAGTTGCCTCGACACAATAAATTTGTGTACAGCAATTTATTTGCAAACATTTGTTAATGCATATACACATACATATATATAATTATATATATACTATAGGAATAAATATATATATATATGTGTGTGTGTGTGGGTTTTGGAAAGCCCATTCGTATGTTCGTTCAGGCATATGTGTAAGGCACATATCATTGTGAGTACTATCGCTATCAACGATTCTTCGACAGTTTGCCGATAGATCAGTTTGCGCGTAGAAGGCTTCTCCTTCCTGTCTATACTCGTGCATTTGAATATATATTTTGTTTGTTTTTAATACTCGTCTTTAATTTGCATACACTTTAAGGAACGGAGTGCGACATACTTAGTTCACTCCCAATTAGACAATACAATTCGGGTCTATAAACCGCATTGTCAACATCAAAAATGGTATGTTTACATATTGCTAACAATTACGAGTGTAGTACATATGTAAAGGGTATGTATGTAAAGGGTATTTATGCGTATATACATACATGCAAATTCGCAATTCAGCCGTTTATTGTGATATATCCGAGTATGCAGAGTGAGTGCGGACTAAAAGGCATTTGTTGTGAAATCTTTATAAAGCTTATTTTATGGCGATTACGACGGAGACTGACAAGTGAAAAATTGAAAACAACGTTTTCTTTTTTGTTCGGTGAAAAATAGAATGTGAAAAATTTTATTTGTTTACTTGAATTCATTTTATAATACATTTTAATTGATAATTTATAAAAAAAAAAAACTGCATAATGCTTTGTTATTTTGGCAAACACATTTATAAAATACGTGTTGTTCGGAATTACTTCAATCATTGGTGGATATGCAAGGTCTATGCAAAGTTCCATTAATATATATATTAAAACGTAAACACAACTCAACTCGTGGTATCAAGAATATATAGATTTAGTCTTGATGGGATATCGGCATTTCAACAATATGACATATGTATATATGTATGTACCATATATTTTTTAGAGAATCGGATAACTATCATATGCATGGCCCATGTCACCGCCTTTTTGTCCATACTAATCAATCATACACGGCTTTACACGTAAATAGCTATACCTGTGCATTTTCCCAGTTTGTGCAAATGAATCATTAACTTTTCGAAAAATAAATATAGAATAAAAATTGATAAATGCAATTATGATCAATTGATAAATGAATTAACCCGATATCCAGTAGCAGAATTAACAAAGTTGTATGGTTCCTGATTAGATTACATTTTGCTTGTTCCCCGATTAAATCTATAACACTTATTGTACTATTTCCCTGGCCCTCAAGATGTGTTTTTTTTTTCTCCATAAAGTATGCTATGCTTAACTTAAGGTTAACGCCTTGAACGTTAATGAGCATCATAAAAGACTTTTTTGCAAACAGATATTCCCGTTAAACTCTCGTCATGAGCTCTTCCAGTTGTGAAATTCAGACTATACGAACTTAAGAGAACATTTCGGTTCTAATGCACCTATTTAAAGGTACAATAGAAGGTGCTGCTGTACCCATTTACATATTGACACCATGGCGTGCACTAACCTATCCCGGGCATTTCAAGCTACATCATTAATGATTATTGGAGGAGGGAGGGTCTAGAGCATATATCGGAATGCGGCATATGATTGGGCATATTTGTTGATCAATTCGTGGAACTAACGTTCTTGTGCAAGTGCCTTCAACTGTATTAGTCAGCTGAGGCAGTAAAATACTGTTATAATCTTATCAGGCTTGACGGCGTTTGTGTGTGTGCTGCTGATATGGGAAAGCCTCTTGTCAAGAGCGCCCCGACTGACCCAAAAGAGAACAACTGTTGCGCAGAGCGCAAACAGTTGTGGAGCAGGCCACAATCGACTATGCTAGATTAGTGCGGATTCGTAGTAGGGTGCGTACTGGTCTATTACCTGTTACAAGTCGCCAAAAGTTGCACAGTTTCAATTTTATCTTGAAGTGCTTCCAGAGTGAGCTCGGGAAACGCCACAAATAAAAGAAAATAAAACAAATAACTGTCACTTTTAGTTTAGACTGATGAAAAACGCACACCCTGTTATCATTGGTATCAATCGCTTCCCCTTCGTGTGTTTCGCTCAATCGTACCGGAATCAAGTCGGCGGCGCTCTTAACCGGAATGTATGTGCTCTTTATAGAATACATACTCCTATAATCGCATATAGGCACCTGCCTCGTACCCACTAGATCGATTGGCAGTTGATATTAACGGTGACCGGCTGTATTCGGGTATTGGTTTCTAAAGGCACTACCGATAAGCACTCGGACCAATTCGAGGTAGACGCAGCTTTTTGGAGATACTTATATACAAGCTGGTTCGGTAGTATGCGATTGTTGCGACTCCGAGCCACATTGTACTTAAACAATAAGAGCAAATACCACCAATTATATTAGACTTTGACTGGACTTGGAAAATATGGATAAGATGTTTTCCAAAATTCTTGCCAAGCGGGTGAGTTCTATATACATATGTATTTTTTTTTATCATGACAACGATAACAATCAAAGAATTAAGTGTTCTTTTTCTTTCTAATTTAAACTTAATTTAAAGTAAACTAATTCTTGTGCCTACTTCATGAGCTCTGCTCCTTATTATCCTGTTTATATTTGATTTGTATTTGATTTCCGTGCTGACGTCAAAAGTAGGTGAAAAGTTGCGATATCAGGAGGTGTGAAATCTCTATCTAGCTCCATAGTTATTATCTGCGTATTATCTCCCACTAAAAGTGCGCGTTGATATGACTATGACACATCCAAATACCTATGTATGTACTTAAATACATTCGCCCTCTTAAATTTGTGTACTTTTTTGGAACGTGCTTAACATAAGCTCTTACTAATGGATTTGACATATCTTATGTACTTGTTATCACTATGGCCCGTTAGGGTTTGACCTAGCCCGCCAACAAAATTTGAAATTGGTTATACTTACATTATTTCTATTATAAAGTGTTTGCTTATTAATTTTATACCCATTAAATATGGTTAAAAGTGTATAATGTTAATGTGCATAATATGTGACAAGCCGAAGGAAACACCTCCGATCCTACAAATTATATAGATTCTTGATCGGAACGAAAGATTCAGACTTGAAAGCACATGCAAAATGAGTTTATCATTTGCATAATATCGATTCAAATCGATTTTGAGACGTGGTTTTTAAGCATAGCTCAAACATTATAGAACTAGATGCTTTTCAGATACCTTCCCTTATTCCCCCAAAAATAGGGAAAAGCTTTTTTTTAAATGTGAGCATTGGTATTTACACGTGTGTGTGTGTGTGAGTGTGTGTGTGTGTGTGTGTGTGTGTTTGTGTGTGTGTGTATATGTGTGTGTGTGTGTGTGCGTGTGTGCGTGTGTGTGCGTGTGTGTGTGTATAGAAGGAAGCTAAAATGCTTGCTAGTCGAGCATTCGCGATTAGAGCACTCTAAGTTCTTGGGCTTAACTATGCTGGACGACTTCAGCATGAGATTCAATTAAAACTATTACAACATACATATATATTTTTTAAAAGAACGTCATAATCAAACTACAGGTTGCCAGATTTAAAATAAGTAACAATTGAAGATAAATAAAACAAAAAATATGATTTATTGGGCTTTTAGTGTGGGCAATGATAGCAATAAAAGTCTGTATAGTTATATATATATATATATATACTAGCGGTTATAGCCCGGCCTTGCCCGTGGAACGTATGTTAAAAATCAACGTTCTCAAAAAGCTTTGAAAATGATTTTGAAACTTATCGGACGGTAAACAAATAATTTTCATAGAAACGTTTTCCGCCAATTTACCAATGTTGCGAAATCGCTGAAACACGTATTCATTATATTCTTATGTAGAGCTTTGAAAATAAGTTTGAAGCAAATCGGGCACAACTTAAAACTTCGCACAAAAAATCTTTGAGTCGCATTCCTCCCGAACAAGTTTGAATTCTGCGAAAAGTGTGAAACACGTCTCAAATGATTTTGCTTATAGATCTCTGGAAATGAATTTGAGCGCGAAACGTCACCCACCAAATCTTTGACCTCCATTTCCACCAAGGAGGAATGGATTTTCCGAAAAGTGCGAAAGATCTTTGAAAATAAGTTTGAGGCCGATCGGATGGTAAACAAAAAAGTTACATACAAACGTTTTTCGCGATTTTTCCACACTTGCGGGTGGAATTTCCCGAAACCCCGTCTTAACGTGCACCTACATCACATAAGGTAGCTACAGTGAAAATTTCAGCTTCCTAGCTCTTACGGTTTGGGCTGTGCGTTGATCACCAATCAGTCAGTCAGTCAGTCAGGACAAACAGTTTTATATATAGAGATATATATTTATATATACATATATAAATCTGTACATCTAACTATATTATTCTATACTGAACTATACTATCCGATATAGCACTAGTATACTATACAATACAACAGTACACTTTTACTAGTTTTACAGTTTATTTTAGTTGGTCAAACATAAAACAAATCAAACCAATTAATAAATATTCCTAATATATATATGTATATATTATATACACATATATATCGTTAATTTACTTGAAGACTGCCATAATGGAAGTGAAATTTAATTTGAAGAGTATAAAAGAATGCATTTTTTCACAAAATATAGCATGTCATAACGAATGTAACTGAATAATTGACTCAAATGATATTTCTAAACTTATGTAAATAAGCGATATGTACATATGTATATGCAAAATAAGTGGGTGGTACAGCTTAAAAGTTTTTATCTTGATTAAAGTTTTTATAAACATTTTCGATGATTGGAATAACATATAGAAATATCATCGCAAAACATGAAAATAAAAAGTTATACGCAAACAAAATGTTTTCATTCCATTGTTCAATGGGGTTCGAACCCATGTTACAAACTTATATAAAGATTTTACGTACTCATTCCTATTTAATAGTTAATTTAGATGGTTTTTTGTACTTGGTTAAAGGTTTCTTATGCTTATTTTCTGAAATTCGATATATATATCAGTTAAGGTTTCTAGGAATCGTGAACACTTAAATTTAGCTCATTTGTACTTCATTTAAGTCTGACTTTTTTTTTTAACTATGAACGTATTTCACTTACTTGTGAAAATTGTATCTAAGTAACTGAAAAATGTGTAAAAACTAATAGTTTGAATTTTAAGAAATAATTTCAGCTGGTATCTAGTAAAGGCAGATATATATTTTCTGCCTTGGCCTTGTCGATATATACTGAGTTTTTAAAAATATCTTCAAAAAACAATATTTTGACATACAAACACTCATTTTTTCGAAAAATTCTTCGATTGATCGTTTCTTTGATATAATGGTCCGATCCGGCCGGTTTCGACATACATTTCTATGTACTGTCAGTCTCAGGACGTCGCGTTAACAATACACAATTGTATTGCTGCCTTGTTTAATATATTTTTTATGCTTTTAGTAAAAATGTTGACCACAGGTTACGTCGATATGGGGACCGAATTTGCCCAAACCCCGACTTAGTGCTCACTTTCGTCCCAAAATGAAGCTTTAGTGAATAAAGGAAGCTTCGCTCTGTGCATTAATCAGCCCATATTCCATATGTTCTTGAAACCTAATAAAAAATTAATTACTGTTTTCTTCTTTAAATAAATAAATATATTTTTTAAATAAAAAAATATGCTCGAAGACGACACGGCAAAGATGAAAAGTTCGCTCTGAAAATCTTGAACCCCCACATTTTATCCAGGAAGGGCGGCTTAGAGTACTTTTTTATAAAGCTTCTTGAAAATGAGCTTGAACCAAAAACTTGGTCCACCTATTCGTCACTTTCCACCAAGAAGGGATGAAATTTGTGATAAGAGTGAAACACGTCTCAAATGAATTTGAACAAAGATCTTTTAAAATGAATTCTAGGCCGAACAATGCGTAAGCAATAAAGTTGCATAGAAACGTTTCCGCGATTTTTCACACTTGTGGGTGGAATTTTCCAAGAGCCTGTCATATAAGGTAACTAAAGTAAGAACTTCAGCCTCTTAGTATAATTCTATCTTATTGAATAATTCTTATCTGTTAGGTTTGCTTAAAACTTGCAATAATTGTTAAATTGCAATTAAACATTTGTCATAATCATTTCTTTAACGTGTTCTTTGGACATAGTTTCTCCAAAACGCACGCACAAAATTGTACACTTGCCCGTAGTCGCGCATATATTTAAATATTTCAATTCAAATTCAATCAAATATCGACGAATTTGACGAACTAGTAAATTAAGCATGCACTTTGAACTCATAACTAGAGAACACAAGCACTAGGTCTTTGGCGTCCCGAATACTCGGTAGCTCGCCAATAAGTTTGAGCTTTTTACGAATATTGGCTCGTGAGCTGTACGAGCTGTGCGAGCTGGAAGCTGGGAATGGCAATGGCTATGGCTATGGGCACGGGCACGGGTATGGATGTGATATGAGTGTGTGGGTATGGGTATGGGTATCGGGTATGGGTATCGGCCGGGGTATGCGAATGCCAGTGCCAATGCAGATCTAATTGTCAGTGTGAGAACGGCTTTTAAGTTGCGCACATCGCGGCGGGCAGGGCAGCTATCAATTATATTTCGTTTCCATTTAATATACTTATGTACATGTACCAAATCTATATGTATATAGTATATGCACTTGTGTATTCTTTTCCGAAACATGGGAACCTCAGAAGCGCGCTGCGACTACAACAGCCTGATGATTGCCGATCGATGTGCTGCAACAATTTTGACTGATTTATCGTGACAGAGTCAGTTGAGGGCAAACGAGATGTACAATGAAATCTATGATGTGTATTTCGGTGTATATACATATATATCAAGTGGAGAAGCATTCAAAATACATTGGACACAAACAACATATGAGTTTCTTGAGTTCTTCCGTGTCATAACGTGATGCCGACGTCATGCCCGTGTAAAAATACATATTGAAATCTTGGATATCTAGCTAAAAGTCATGTAAATGTGAAAAACAAATACCACGCACTCACATACACACATAATAACAACAATATATATATACATACATATATATATATATATATATATATCTATATAGCTATAGATAAAGATAAACACATGTGCATACGTACTGAACTGTTCAATTGAAGTGTTAAAATTACCCACTTAACATCGTTTTAAGGTTATAGCTTTTAATGTGTGGAGAAAAAACAGAAAAAAAACAGAAAAAAACAGATACAGTCATACAAGCCTACGGTCACACGTGCCTTGTATGCAGATGTAAGAAATCTATAACAAAGCCCATTAAAAACAACAACAACAAGTGTAATAATAACTAAAAAGAAAATAAACAATTAAGTTAAGGAAAAATCAGCAGGTGTTCGTCCAAAAATATGAATCGCTCGGATAAAAAGAAAAATGTTAAGATCGTACAGATTTTGATCAAATCTGATCTTATTTAGCAATCGGTTCTCTCTCTCTCTCTCTCTCTCTCTCTCTCTCTCTCTATCACTCTCTCTCTCTCTCGCCACTGAGTACAGAGCCCCTATAGAGAAGATGCACATGCACAACTTGTATATGATAAAGACGGTTGATCTGTTAATGAATGTCAGCCAGGTGTTAGACAATGAATTTCTTTGGCCATGACTATCTAAGCGGATTTCGACGCATTAATCATACGGTTACGTATCATACACCAAATTGGGCTGACCAGGAGCCGCAGAATTATCTGAAGGAAACATTTGTTTGGAAGCAGCGCAAGGTGCGTCACATATACATACATATTTACATATCTATCCCAAAACTAACACAGTTCACCACACAACACGTTTACAAATTAAAATCGAGTAAAAGACCATGGAAACTTGTACACACATGTATATGTACATATTTATGTGTATTGATTAACCCTATTAACCTTCAAGCAAGCGCAATGCTGTTGAAATTAAAAGGTTGTCAGGCAGTGCTTTACTTTAAACAAATACCCAAAGAATGTCTGTAGAACTAATATAATCGTCCAAACTTGTAACTTATAACAATTCCTATAGAATTTCGAGCTATATACTTAGTATATCAGTATAGAAATACATTGGCAAAAGTTATGGCAAGCCAATCCTATATTATAGACAGAAACTGATTATTTGCGCAAATTTGGATAGTATATTTCATCAAACTTAGCCTTAAGCAATTATTTAACAGGAGAAGAAGTCACAAATGCAACTTGTTAAATTATTTTTTATACATATATACATATATCATAGTTTTGTGATCGGAATAGACGAAGGCATCTTCGACTGAATAAAGTATATATATATATACATATATATATATCTATAAAGATAGAGCCAAGTACGTCTGTTTGTTTCTATGCTAAATAGTTTTTTCGCGCGAATCCCAATGCATCGCATTGCACTCGAGTTCCCGCCCAACCGGACGAGGGGCGCAGTCGTATAACGTACGGCACGAACTCGCAAAATACAAAAGCAAATATAAACTTAGACTACGGGCTAAGACTCTCTACTTGCGGAATAGCTTACGATGGAAGACTCAATATGAGAAAGACTCCCAACAGAGTTGGGTCCGGAGTTGAGTCCGGAGAAACCGGAATAGTTCAAGCAAGGCACAGTTTGTTGAAAAACATACTCGAGACAAAGCTGTATAATTACTTTTTCTCAGTTTTCAAACTATCGTCATGAAAGTTTGCATGGGTCCGGCTGTCTGTTGCAGGCAGTACATATTACGGAATACGGCTTAAAAGCAACAAAAGTTTCTACGCTTTTGACGGACTCTTTCTGAAAAGCTATATAATATAGTTGTCCGATTTTGCCGAAAAACAAAACTTTCAATAAAAGAAATACATTTTCGAACGACCAACGGTTCCGGCTGATATCCACAACAAATCAGATACATTTCTTGCAATAACAATACGAATGTTAATTAACTCTGATATAAAATACATTTTGCTATTCAAGTCGAGAGAATCTATAAAGCATGAAATATAAACTTCAGTTTATAGAAAATAATTTTTTGTAAAATATCTATTTCTTTTATTGTCGAAATCTCTCGGCCAGAGCCTGTGAAATCAATATTGTTTTTGTTTTGTTTTTTTTGTTTTACATTTAAATTATAGTAAATAATTTTATTTAGTGCAGTCCAAGGTAGATGAGTTGTCCGAGTGACCCAGACAATTGGCAGTTGAACAACGAGGATTTGGATTAAAGGCCAGGATATTAGTAGATGGATGCAGTCTTGTCTATGTCCATATTAACCAGTGAAATTTATAATATTTATGTTGATAATTTTTTCGCTGTAGGCTATCCTCTATCCAGCTTGAGAAACCCTCCTTAGATGTACAAATCTCATCAAAGGTTTTGGAATGAATGAAAACTAAAGATTGCCAAAGTTCGTTTACAGTCCAAGTATAATATATTTTGAGATATATACATATATTCCATATGTAGTTTCGATTTTCCCAAATATTTTTTGTGACTCTAGCCCTAAAACTGAAAACAAATTGACTCTTCACTTTCTAAATACATACAATAATGTACATATAACAACATGAATTCGCCTCAAAACCTTTTTGGCTTTCATCTAGGAGTAAAATTCGCAGAACAATACTGCGGGAGAAATGGAGAATGTTCCTATGTATGTACTATACTTATGTATGTAGTAGTAGATGTGACAGCGTGTACATCAACTATACATTTAATTGGATAGCAGCATGTCAACATGCATACAAATGTCATTGAACCATCGAGCCGGTTCGGTTTAAGCGCGACTTGCAGCCTTGAAGGGAACAATACGATTAATTGAATGCTAATAACACGATATACTTAATATATGTAACTACTCAAGCTATAAAAAAACAATTTAAATGTATATACTTATTTCCTTATTGTGCTCTACAGTTAATAATAATAAATTGCATATGTATCTATAAATATTTTCCATATTTGATACTATTTCTTGTTGTTTTAGGGTTCCAGAGTTAGTACAATAAATGACTGGCTACAAATACAAATTGGCGGCTCTGAGGATGTTAAAAAGAAAAAGCCATCGAATCAAAATCGCATTAAGTCCACGAAATACACATTGCTCACATTTCTGCCGCAGAATCTATTGGAACAGTTTCGCCGCATAGCTAATTTTTATTTCCTAGTTATGACTATAATATCGCTATTAATTGGTAAGACCGAATCGCAGAATTGGCAACATATGCGTAATATATATTGTATGTAATATTGTACTCATTATGCACATTACCTACAGACAGTCCTGTTTCGCCGATGACGTCACTGTTGCCTCTAGTATTCGTAATCGCTGTTACAGCCGCGAAACAAGGCTATGAAGACATCCTGCGCTTTAGAACTGATAATGTGGTTAACCGCTCACCGGGTAGGTATTCAAAATTGGGGCAGGTGTGTGTCCATATTCGAGACCCGAGACTGACCTTCTTACCACATGCCCTGCAGTTACCATCATAAAGGATGGCGCTGAGGCTATAATACAGTCACAGAATGTGGCACCGGGTGATCTGATCGTTGTGGAGCGCGACTGCGATGTGCCCTGCGATTTGCTATTGCTGCGCTCAACCGATCCGCATGGCAAATGCTTTATCACAACGGCCAATTTGGATGGCGAGTCGAATCTGAAGACCTTGATGGTGCCCAGAGAGCTGCCGACTGTGCCGATCGAGGAGATGCATAAGCTGGGCGTTATCGAGTGCGAAAGTGCCGGCACCGATCTATATAGTTTTAATGGCAAAATCGAGCTGTCGGGCGGCGAGGGACGCGTCCTGCCCCTCTCTGCCGAGAATGTGCTTCTTCGTGGATCGCGTGTCAAGAACACGGAGTGTGTCATCGGATGTGCCATCTACACCGGAATGACCACTAAGCTGCAGCTGAACAGTCGACTGACCCGCAACAAGAGCGCCTCTAGTGAAACCTATGTGAACAGATTTTTAATATTTATACTTATAGCTTTAATAGCCATAGTTACCTTGCTCTATTTCCTAAAACGGTGAGTACGCATCCAGCCCAAACTAAAAGTCATAAACGTATTTACTTTAATGCAATTTAGGAATAATATAATAGTATTTTAACGATTCTCAGTGGGCATAAAAGTATATAGTATCTCGAATCTAAAATTGTGATACAGAGTTAAGAGAAGTTAAAATAATTATAGTAGAATATCGAGCTTATAAGAGAAATCTTGGATTCAGTAGACTTTCTTTTGATAAAGCCACAATACCACGATTATTTAGGAAATAAAAGAAACTTGAAACCTTATATGTAAATGTTAATCTGATTGCAAACCTAATCGCTGCCTTATAATGACTTCTCGTGCAGTTACAATGAGCTGTTTGTGATACCAAAGCTGACCTATCTGGGACCCGCAGCGGATGGCTATAGTGTGAAACAGTTTCTGCAGGACTATCTGTCCTTTCTAATACTGTTCAACTACTTGATACCCATCTCGCTGTATGTGACCATTGAGCTGCAGCGCGTCATTGGCGGCTTCTTCATGGAATGGGATACGGAGCTCTATGAGAAGGAGACCGATCAACAGTGCATTGTGAACACATCGAACTTGAACGAGGAGCTCGGACAGATCAACATACTCTTCTCAGACAAGACGGGCACACTCACCAAGAACGAAATGAACTTCCAGCAGTGCTCGATTGCTGGCCACAAGTATACCTATAAGAAGACTCGGCTGGAAGATGAGGAGACCAAAGCACTGATTGACATCAACAAATTCAGCGTAAGCCAACATTCATATTGTTTTATTAAAATTGTGGAGAAATTACAAATTACCCTTTAACAAGAATGACGAACATCTGCGGCATGCCAAAAATTAAATACCCTTGTACACGTGTGACCTATGACCTTGCAGTTGAGTGAAAAGAATTGTCAAGCTTCCACTTGCCAATTTTCGTTAAGATATCTCGTGAATCGGAAAAGTTTTCGTTTACAAATCTCAATTTTCAACCGATTGTGTCTCTAGAACTATATAATGTAGTACTCAAATGCTGATCATATAGTGAATATAGTAAAGGCCAAATTTGATTCATATAGACCAAGAACCACAAATGTTGTTCTTACGAATGCTTCATTTTTGACCGACCACTATGGCAGCTATAGGATATAGGGATATCACCAGGTCGGTTCTTGACAACCTGATATCCCTAAAACTGAGGAATTGATTTGCATAGAAACAGACAGACGGATAGACGGACAAAGCTGTATCGACTCGACTATTCATACTGATTAAGTATATAAAGTATATTAAGGTGTCGAAGATGTTTGCTTCGGGGTTATATGATTGGAATCGATCCATCTGAAAAGAAATGCGAATCTAAATTTTGTTTTAAACATATACATAAATAATCGATACAATATTTGATATATGGCTTACCTTACCTTAATACGCGCATTCTTTAAATTACCAATTAATTAATTATGCAAAGAGTATTTTCTACAATTTGAATCTGAAAATTTCCCAAAATTTAGGAAATAAATCAAATGCAGAAAATTGAAAATGATCGAATATCGGAAAATTCTGCTCAATTTGGGTGTTTCTTTAGAATCGAGAATGTTTGATATGTTATTTAACTCGAATTTCGCCAACAGATTGACCAGAAGGTGTTCTTCCAAGCGCTGGCCATTTGCCATACGGTGCAGGTGGCATCGAGCACGCCTGCAGATGAGCAGGTGACCAATAAGAATGAAAGCAACAAGTCGGGACCACCTGAAATGTACTCCATTACGGACATCACCGAGGAGAGTCACAATTCTAGTCAGCACAGCGAGCTCAATGTGAGCCACACGATTGACACGTCCATTTCGGTGCATCCGAATGGTGTTAACGCCCCGGTGAGCTCTTCTGATGTGAATCCCCTGCTGATTGGCGATGACAGCTACCAGGTGGAGCGACGCAAGCGGCCGCAGGTGGTCAAGCGTAGCCCCAACTTTGCCAGATCCAATAAGGTGCACAGTGCGGGCGTCGGTGAGGCGACGGCGGGCAACACGACTGAGCAGAATGGCCACTCGATGGTCGGCAGTCCGATGCAAAGTCCACACATGGTGCGGCCCATATCGCTGCAATTCCAACGTTCTACCTCGGAGCGGGATCTGCCCCAGTTTGGTGAGGCGAACAGTGCGGCCGCCTTGGGCCACAGACGTGCCCACTCATATGGCGCGCCCAATGCGTATCTGTCCAATCCCGTTGGGAATATGACGCCACCAGTGGGTGGACTCTTTCGCACCGCCAGCACCACATCGCGTGAGTCCTATGCAGCGCCCACATTCACACGCCAGCCAACGATACTCATACGTGCCGAATCACAGCGTCGAAAGAATGAAATCCAGCAAACATTGTGGTAACTATTAGCTGCTCCCGCTGGCCCCAGTTGCGTGTGCATGACATGACATGATGTCCATTTGCTTATCCCTCAGTTCACTGGACTACCAGGCCTCCAGCCCGGACGAGAATGCGCTTGTGGAGGCGTGCGCCAATTTGGGCTTTGTCTATATTGGCGATGATGGTGAAGTGCTGCGAGTGCGCATTGTGCCGCCGCATCTGGACTACAAACGACCCATCAACAGCAACAAGCCCAAGGAGGATTGCTTCTATCGCCTGCACGTCCTGGAGTTTACCTCCGATCGCAAGCGTATGAGCGTGATTGTTCGCGATGAGGCTGGCAGGAAGTGGATCTACACCAAAGGCGCCGAGAGTTATGTATTTCCACTATGCGCAAACAGCTCGGCGATGATGGTCTCCAAAACGGATAACCACATCAGCGACTTTGCTCGCTTGGGTCTCCGCACCCTGGCCATAGCCAGGCGGGAGATCTCTGAAACGGAGTATCAGGAATTCATCAGTTCCTTGGCCCAGGCGAACAGCTCACTGGAAAATCGAAAGCAACTTTGCGAGGAATGCTATTCAAAGATTGAAAGCGGTGAGTGGACGATATCCTTTTGCAATGCCAATCACTCTATTCGCCATTCCTTTCCAGATCTGGATTTGCTGGGCGCCACAGCTGTGGAGGATGCGCTACAGGATGATGTGGCCGACACACTCGTATCCCTGCAAGCAGCTGGCATCAAGATTTGGGTGCTCACTGGTGACAAGGTGGAAACGGCACTGAACATTGCTCTGTCCTGTGGCCACATACCACCCGATGCCAAGAAGTATATTATACTCGAGTGCAAGAGCCGCGACGATCTGCTCATCCACTTGAATGTGCTCGAGCGCGAAATTGTGTTTGGGATCGGTCAGGAATGCGCGCTGCTCATCGATGGCAAGAGCCTGGCCGTCGCCCTCGCCGAAGCACCCAAGGAATTTCGCGATGTTGCCGTTAAGTGCACGGCCGTGCTCTGCTGTCGGCTCAGTCCGCTGCAGAAGAGCGAGGTGGTGGCGCTCATCAAGTCGTCCAATGAGAACTATAACACAGCCTCCATTGGTGATGGTGCCAACGATGTGTCCATGATCCAGGAGGCACATGTCGGCATCGGTATTATGGGACGCGAGGGCCGTCAGGCGGCGCGCTGTGCCGACTTTGCCTTTGCCAAATTTTGCATGCTGAAGCGTTTGCTCCTGGTCCATGGCCATTACCACAGCGTGCGTCTATCGTTCCTGGTGCTCTACTTCTTCTACAAAAACATCGTGTTCATGGGCATCATGTTTCTATTCCAATTCCACACGCTCTTCTCCTCATCCTCTGTCTACGATTCTCTGTTCCTGACCCTCTACAATGTGATCTACACGTCGCTGCCCATTCTCTTCATATCTCTAACCGAGAAACCCTACACCGAAGAGACCCTAATGCAGTAAGTTGATATAGTTATCCTGGAACTTTTCTCGCACTAAAACCTTTTTATACCCTGAACCCATTAAAAATGTGTAAAAGGGGTACAATTAATTTGTGCAAATATATGTAACAGGCAGAAGGAAGCATCTCCGACCCCATAAAGTGTATATATTCTTGATCAGCATCAATAGCCGAGTCGATCTAGCCATACCGTCTGTCTGTCCGTCCGTCTGCCCGTCTGTCCGTATGTATGAACGCAAGGATCTTAGAACCGATAAGAGCTATAGACATGATATTTGGAACGTAGGTCCTCCTCGTGTCCGCGCAGTACGAGATTGTGATTGATTGAGCAAATCTCGTAAATTATACGAGCTGGAGACACCAAAATCGGAAAGTAGCTTCTTGAGTAGTATATATATATAAATATCCCTTCTTTTATAACTGCTGCTTAAGCAAACGAATTGTTACACGAGGTTCATTTTGTGTTGGTAGAAGAGGGTTCAGGAGATCCTTAGTCGGGAGCTCCCACTAGAGCCTCTTACTTATTTAGCATATTTATCACGAGCCTCAAAAATCATAGTTTCCTTTCCGCCAATTGGTAAGGGCTATATAATAGCTTTTCCTTAAAACTATCGTTGGAAAGTTAAGTTGGCCTGACTCGATTAAAAACTTAATTTAACGTGTTTTTAAAAGTTTAAACTTTTAAAAATCCAGTCCGTTTAATTCCCGGTCGATTAGCTTGAAGAAATATGAAGGTTTTTGAAGCTCTACGTGGAAAATACTGACAATATGTGCTAAAGCGATTTTCAAAAAACTAACTAATTTAAATCGGGAAACTGCGACCAATTCACATAAAACTCATTTTAAAATATTTATGTAAGTTATAAAAGGCATCGTGATAGTCCATTTCGGAAAATCCACCCTGCTAGGTGAAAACTGAGGGTGAAGGGTGTTATAGCAATATCTTAATATTTCCACGGTCGGAAAATGGCTGAAAAAGCAATGCACAAGCTTTAAGATAAACACTTTGCCCAAGCATGGCCGGGTAATACCGGTTAGTAGTTCGTAAACATAATAAACTTAAGGAAACCTCAAAAATTTAAAAAAGAGCTACATACACCAAACTATGTATGAAGTTTCTCGTATAGCATATACAGATTAAAAATATATTTAACTTTTAGATTAAATATATTTAACTTTTTGAATGCGTTCCATTCCCCTTAAAAACTTCTAAATTTAGAACCCTTCGATCTCGTATGCCATTTTCGAGCCCTCAAATGGCTTACCCATAAATTGAGTAGGACTTAGGGAACAAGAAGAATAAGGGAAGTAGGGATAGAATGGTGCTGGATATATCAAACGCAGCTGGGCGGTGGGTTGCAGGGCTAAAGACTACAAAATTCCAGGTTGTTTCTTTTTCTTTTCATCAAACCAATTAATCTCTTTTCGCTCACTCAGAACTCCGAAACTGTATAGGAAAAACACGGATAATAAGCAACTCCACTGGCCCTACTTCCTATTGTGGACACTATTTGCGGTTTACCATGCGTTGATAATCTTCTATTTCGCGTACTGCGTCTTCTCCTTCAACAATGTCATACTGAATGGGGGCCAGACGGCGGCCTTTTCCTGCTTTGGCACGCTGCTCATCTGGGGCGTGGTGATCATAGTGAACCTTAAGCTCTGGCTGGAGTCCATGTATCTTTCCTATTGGTATATTGCGACGATAGTAATATCGATACTTGCATTTATGGTTACGACCGTCATCTACAACGTCATCAATTTGTAAGTTTTCATGCTCATTTATTCTGGTGCTGAAATCTATATCTAGATCTTAATACACAGGGACTACGATACGGATATTTACTGGGCATACAACAATCTCTTGGCCTCCCTGCCAGTCTGGCTGTACATCCTATTGACGATTGTGGCCTGTCTATTGCCTGATTTCACATTGCGAATGCTGAAGAGAGCTTTGAAAATCAAGGGCTTCAGCATTTTTCCCGGTAAACAGCGAAAACGTGAAATGCGCAAGAAGTTCGAGTCGACCTATTTATAATACTTAGTATTAGACCATAATTTTTATACGGTTTATTTATTTATTTTGTCTTATACCTATGTACATATATTTTTTTTTTTTTGCATTTAAGTAAAATCGATTGTTTGTTAAAATAGGCGCTATGCTGTTTTATTATTCATCTAGAACTATTTTTCACACAGAAAAATTCGACCAGCTAGCCAACACATATATAAAAAAGATAATGAGAATCTCTTTAAGCCAATCAGGGGCGGTACTAGAAATTAATTTAGATACATGAATAGTCTATATTTTTATGCACATATTTACTTATGCGGTTCATAGTCACGATAAGAACGCCCTGTAATACGCTGGCACTAGTAATTGTGGTTTCAACTCAGAAGCATATGAACAGGCACCCTTATACGGCATATCTTTGTCGATCAGAAATAACTTATACATACTATATAGAGTATAGAGTGTAGAGAGTTTAGTCAAATCATTTTTGAAAAAAGTACTGGGAGGCTTACAATTCTGAACAGGTAGCTTTTTAGCTTATTTCAATTTGATGATGATTCATTGAGACAACGATTTTTTAGTTGACAAAGTGTTGAATTTAACATTAATGTAAAAAAGCGTTTGTCAAAAAAGTGTTTGTGCATCAAAATCTCTAATTGCTTTCGTTGGATGGTTCAAAAGTGTTGTGGGAGTGAACTTTGTTTTCCAAGTTGCTGTCAAAGCTCATGTCAGTTTACAAAAACTTTCTGTTTTGCCTCTTGTCAACTGTGCCTGCAACTGTGACAACATCACCACAAAACACAATTGATAACACCGCAAGGGAAATAAGGTGGTAAGGGGTCTGATAACAAAACCCGATGGTGTGCTGCCATACGCGTACATACATTTCTAAAAATTAACTGCAGGATAAGCCGCCTGGTAAACGTAACAATAACGTCAGCAATCAAATTGAAACTGTACAAAATGACAATTGGTTTCTGGACTAAGATTTAAGTCAATTGGAACATACATGTTTTGGTTGCATTACAATTTAGGTACCCCAACTTATGCAGGGTGATTGTGTTTCGCATTGACCCAGCCGGTTTTAATGTTATCTTTATGGTGCTGCCTTTGTTGTGATACTGCTAACTGTTGCAATGCCAAAATATTTGATTGTACAGCTATTTCCATTGATAATGATATCTCGTACTCCCGGTGTACAAGTGTGTGTGTGTGTGAGTATTACAGTGTGGGACCTGTTCCTAGTTCATTCGAGTCGGAGACAAATCGTTCGGCTTTGGATCCAACTGGAGCACAGTAAATGGTGAGCGGTGCAAAGGCACATCGGTTTAGTGGCTTTCATTGAATTAAGTTATTTTGAGTGTGTTTAAGCTCCAGCCAGTTGGGCTTTATCAGGGAGCCTTCCACAGCACAGTCATGCATGCATGCAACACATGTGTAAACTCGTATCTTTATCTGCGTATTGGAACGCTCGGTTAGATATTGTGCTGTGTGTGTGTGTGTGTATGACTGTGTCGACGGCAATTCTTAATCTCCTATTTATATACATATACATATATATCATGTTTTTCTTTTTTGCTGAATTTAGTATGTTTAGAGACGGTTCACGTAACGGCAAATTTGGGTTTTTTGTGTAAAGAGCGCGGATAGTTGACAAATTGGTTGTGGGCAAATCTTTTAGATGATGTCACTTAATAAGCCTGCTGGCGACCCATCGATCCAGCAGAACCCCAAATCGACAACTATAATCAAGTATGAGAAATCATCATGCCTGTTTTGCAATGAGTGGTTCGACGCCCAAACTTTTACGGTGTGTGGTTTTTTGTGCTGATCAAATTGTTAAAAGCGGGTTTTCAATAGCTCTTAACTCATGACTATGCAGGAACACCTCATACACTGTGGACAGGTGCTCGAGGAGTGCCCGAACAGCTGCAATGTCTTCATACCACGAATCCGCATGCGCTCGCATCTGAAGGAGTGTCCGCGCAGCAAGCAGCAGCTGCAGCGCATGAGCGCCAGCATGGAGCGTTTGGATCAGCATGCCGATCATCGTGTTCAGGTACTGGAGCAGGACATTACCACAATACGTTCCGTGCTGAATGAGGAAATACGACAGCGTTTGCATCTCATCACGGACGTTGGCAACATACGCAAACACAATCAAGTGGTCGAGGATTGGACCAAAGATACGGACGACAGCCTCACCGAGCTGCGCCAACAGCTCGAGGAGGAGAGGGCGCAGCGTGCCTTTACCGCCGAACAAAATCAAGCGGACTTTCAATATTGCTGCAACATAACGCAGGTATAGCCAGAATTCAAATCAAATTTACGTTCTTGGAGCATATCGCATATAACATACATATGTATGTATATTTCTTATATAGTCCCTAAAGGAGCAGGTGGAAATGAAAATGAACGATTTGCAACAGCATATTAATCAACTGTCTTCGGAGGTGAGTTTCCATCAGAATCAGCTGAATGATAATATTATGAAACTGGAGGAAATTGTTTTCGAAAATGAAAGATTAAATCGGTAAGCAATGAACTTTTGAATAAGCATAAAAAGTATTTTTTTAATTGTGCACACGTTAGAGATAAGTTTGTGCAGATTGAGCAGTTTCTGCAGGAGATCAATGAGGACATCAAAACGAAATTGGGAACCAGTGATTTTTCCACTTCGAAGCAAGCCACTTTGGACTGCGAAGTCAAAAATGTGAAGAGCATCGTGTGTGAAACTGAAGAGCGCTGCGATAGGCTGCAGAACCTGGTCCAAGATCTGGACAAGGCGCTCCACCAAACAATGCAGAGCATCGCGGATATCGAGAACCAGCTGGCAATGCAGCAACGCATCGCCAGTGTTCAGAATATAAGAGGTAAGCTACATACAACTTTCAGACATTCCTGCATATTCGATCAAGGGGGTGGAAAATGGGTGAGAAAAACTCGGCAGTATAGAGTTAATCCTAGTCGGCCCCCTGCATTAAAAAAGATTTTTTGGGACCGACAAGAAATTGACCTTCGCTCTTACATCCGTGGACACTCTTCTAAATTAAATAATGGCAACAGTTTTATAGGACTTTTTTGCACTGGATGGAGTTTTCTAAAGCCTTATCCTTTTACTCAACCTATAGATAAATACGCCGAAAAACTCAATATAGATAAAGATGCGAATATAAATTTTAAATAACAAAATGTATAGATATAACAATATTGTTCGATTACAGGCCATTTGATTTGGCGCATCAAGGACTATTCCAAGAAATTGGAGGAGGCCAAGCAGTATGATACAATCTTGCACAGCGCCATGTTCTCCAACAAGGCATTTGGATACGCCTTGCGTGTAAGTATTAAAAACAAACAGATTAACAAAGGTAATTCACATTAATATAATGCTTGCAGCTGGACATATATTTAAATGGCAAAGGCACTTGGAAGGGGCGCAACTTGATCGCCTGTCTGAATGTGCTATCTGGCGAATATGATCCACTTCTCACCTGGCCATGTCGTTTGCAGGCCGAGATTATCATACGGGACCAAAGTGGAATTACGCTGGAGGCACAGGACTATGTAAAGACCATCAATGTGCGAAAGAAGAGCGATGATTATATACAGAGCAACCAGTACTTCCATATTCCGCACAAGGTTATAACCAGTCGCAACTATCTACGCAACGACTCACTCTTTGTCGAGGTGCGAGTCCTGAAATGATGTCCTTGGCTGTTGTGTATATACCAAGACTCAAGCCAAACAACTCATGAGCAGCTAAGCAATAGCTTGTTTTAAAAAGCCTCGGCCGGATGCTAAGAACTATTGATAAATGTTTGCAGATCGTGCATACGTTATTCCAGTTTGCTTAATGAAGCATTCTAATTACTTAGCGTATAGATAAAATCCAATATGCGTCTGTTTTCATTTTTTCAATTATTAACCTGTTGTCGAATTAAAGCCAAAGTTCAGGCAAAACACCTGCCCCCATCCCAAAAATTGAAAGCAGCAGTCATTTAAAGGCATTGAACCTTTAATAAAATACATCAATACATATAGGTATATTTAAAATTCGAACAGTGTCAACTAGGTCAGACGTAGGGAGTCGAGACCATATTCAAATCCATTACATTGATAATATATAAAGAGCAAAAATTGAACAAGTTTCAATATATAATCATAGACAACATCTTTGAAATAAATAATTGCGCCTTCAATGTAAATGTAAATGCATAAGCTCTAGGGTTTTGTTTTTTTGTCGAGGCACACTTTAGACAGAAATTTTAGCGTTGGGATGTTTGAATACACAATTCCAAGCGTTGTAGAATTGAATTTTTACTTATTTAAATAAAAATAGTTACTTCATAGTCAACGTACATACATAATACATAAAAAGTAGAATACACAACATGTTAAACAGTTATTTTGAATTATGCATAAGTTTAAGATGAGCGCTGTTCCCCGACCAAAGCATACAGAGCGTGTTTGTAATGCCCAGAAGTGTCGCCCTAAAAATGATAAATAAATAAAAAAAGGTATAATGTTTTGATACACAAGCTGAATATATATTATGCGTATATGCTAACCTTTATCCAGCTCTTTAACGATTTGCCATACAAACGCTCGAAAGCCACCTTAATGTCCGCCAAATCAATCTGCAAGATGAATTTAAATAAATTTGCTTTACAATATGCAAAAATATCTATATATTGTACTCCCTATTTACCTCACAGCGTGTTATGATGACGCGAATCAATTGTTTGTCGTTGGTGCCAATGCCAGCCATGGATTTATGCAAGCGCGAGGCAAAGTAGTCGGCCTTGTTAGTGACACACTTGTAGATGGCAATTAGACCCTCCATAATATCGCCAGAGAACTCCTTTTTGAGCGCCTTCTCGAACGAGTGACCAGTCATGTTCTCGTACTCTTGGAATATCTGAAAAGTTCAAATGCATTTGTAAATAATATTGATTAAGCCGGGATGTTGTTGTCATAACCCACAAGTTTAAGTTGCTGATAGTTTCTTTGGCACAGTATCATATTAAACATGCTCTCATCGGTGCCGACGCGCAGCTCACCAGCCTTAAGCAGCTCCCTGGCATCCTCTTTGGCCTTGTTGGGATCGACACGACCACTTTCATCCCGCGCCGCGGTGCATAGTGAAATAAGCAGACGCTTAAAATTGCCGGAGGTCTCCGACTTTAGCTCCGACTCCAAATGTGCGCCGTATACTAAAATATAAATAGAGTACAAGTGTAAGTTTATATAAGCATGCATGTAGATAAGTATATCTGTTGAATCATGTGAGACTTACAGCGCAAGTACTGATTTTTGATGGTATGAATTTCTAAATTGGATAGCGTGCATAGAATTTCAATGAGCACCTCTTCGTCGGTGCCCAACCCGGCCATGGCATCATTAAGCTCGGCACAGTAGTAATCGACAATTGGACGCAAGAGACCAACCAACAGCTTTTGAAAGTTGGCACTTGTCTCCGACTTGATATCTTCAATTAGATCCTTGCCGAAGTGAGTTTTGTACTGACGTTGGATTTCCTGGCGCTGCTCGTTGCTGCGACGGCAAATGATCTCAATAAGTTTATCTTCATCTGTGCCGAAGCCTTTCATCGCTTTGCGCAAATCGTGAGCATCCTTAACCGGGTCAAACCCTTGAGCCGGGAACAATGTGGGAGTACCCTGAAAAAAAAGCACAAAGACAAAAGTCATTCTTATACCTTACGTGTTTATGTACAAGTGCGTTGCTATATAAATATGTATAATTCATCATTCTAGATGTGGGCATTTCCTGGGCTACGCACATGACGGCACGTGACATGAACGAAGCAAGTAAAAGCTTTGCAATCGGAAGCACTGTGTAACAACAAAGACTGCAAACCGGTTTTGCGCCAAACCGGATCGGACTCGGATTGCTAGATCCATATTTATCATGAACGGAACGTTGAACCTGATTATAAAGATGTTTTGGTTCAAAACTTTTTTTTTTGTATGCTCGAAAATGTTTTTGATAATTTTGTTCGGTTATCAGTTCTGTGAATGTAATGTAGATATACAAATTTAATTTATAATAAATTGAATTACTCTTTTGTAAATTGTAAAAAAGAAAAATGAGAGCCGAGTTAGAGCCCCTAATATCTGGATTCATAATCTGAATCTGTTTCACGATCCGAACCACAAGGCGAAGCATTGGTTCGAGCCGTGAACGGAACCACCGAACATTTTTGTTGAGTTTGCAGCCTTGGTAACAACAGGTTATAAATTTTGCCCAAAACTACAAATCAGTTAATTAATATCATTTGAGTAGATTTAGTGCACTTTTTTTTTAGAAGGATATCAGAACAATAATCCATATTTAATTAATCCGAAACTTTTAATGATATTTTCTGAGAATTGGGACATGAAGGAACATAGAGTTATAGACAAACCTCTTCGTAGGCCGTACAGTGTTGATTGAGAGAGTTCTGCACGTGCTCATGACCATACCCATGCCCATACCCATAAATTTGGTCATGACCATAGCCATAACCATGCCCCTGAACATGGTGGCTAGGAGACTCATATCCATAGGATGCTGTCATGGCTGGTGTGTATCCACGGTCAACTGGATAGGATGCATTTGGATGCTGATTAAAATGGCTTTGGCTATACTGCTGATATTGTAGGCCCTGATGGGGCGCCACATTGTCAACTCTATTGGTTGGATATGGTGGCGAAGATACATTTACATTAAGAGGGTATGATGTTGATGTGGATGGATAAGACGCATGCATTGGATAGGTTGCGCCACCGCCATGCTGATTTGGATATTGTTGGAACTCTTGCTGCTGATAAGGTTGTGCGGTGGGCGGTGGGTATGGTGAGGAATGCGTGACGTTCTGCTGCACTGGTGCAGTGACCCAACCAACTCCAAACGGCACATTAGGTTGCTCATTAGTAGAAGGATGTGATGATTGTGGCATTCCGGAACCCTATAAAAGTCAAAATACACATTCATTGTGCGTCGGTTAGACTGAACATGCGTCAACATTCAGCGAAGTAATCAAAGTGTCCTCCTAACAAAAACATGGCCACAATAGTCATGTGTCCAAGCTATCACAATTTGGACATAATAATTTATAATTGAAAATCATAAATCATGCGAAAATTTCTTATGAATCATAGTTTTTTTTTACATGGAAAACGTGTAATATATTTACAGCGAAATGGAAGGGTCTTTTATGTATCTGTATATGAACATTTCCCAGAATAGGTCCACCGTGACCTTAATCTGATATATATTTACCGTAAACTCACTGATTTTATTTTAACGCATTGAAAGCTAATCAGATTATTTACACATAAAAGTGAATAGTAAATAATTCTTGTAATAACATATAAGGAAGTGGTAACAAAATGAAATAAATTTATGCTCGGCTACAAAAAAAATAGATTGGATTTTAAGAAAAGAAAAAAAAAAAGAGCGACGTCAAAAACAATGTTTGTTTGTTAATATGTACATATGTATGTATGTATGTATCTAAGAAGCGTACGTTCGACAACTATTTAAATAAAAATTGTGATACTAAAAAAGAATGTGCGTCGTTGCTGGAATAGCCCATAATGCTGGTGTAAAATAAAGTTTAAGAAAATTCTACTTACGTATGGATACATATTCGTTTTTTAATGAGATTACTGGGTTAGGATATTCCTGTGAGATTCAATACTGTAAAAAGGAAGAAGCGAAGGAAATATTTTAAAGTAAATAATTAATTTTAATTAATAATAAATTTAACATTCTAAGCTACGTCACTGTATATGCAGGTAAGGTGAAAGATATCTTAGTAGTTGTAGGGTATGCCATAGTTGAGCACATTGATTGTTTTTGTTTATCTGAATTTGTTTATTTTATTATTATTATTTAGGTGTGACACCTATGCATACAAGCAAATATAAATTTAAGGTCACAGTTAATAAATAGTCCATAATATTCGCAGTCATTCGTGTAAGGCAACCATTACTATTAACTATACATATTAATGTAATTAGCTCCGATTCGGACAGCATAGCAACTACCATGCCATATATGTACATATGTACATACGCGAAGTTACATACATACATATGTATCTGCATGCGTATCTATCTTAATTTCACAACGACTGCTATTTCCCAAGAACCGGAACCCTACGAGTCTAGCTTATAATGAGTCACGTTGCGTAGCCACGTTGTCTGAAACTAAGAGGGTCCCTTTTTGCTGGTTCACTTCTGCATTTGCGTCATACGCTGACATGCGTAGGAAGCATATAAGGTCGTGTCAGGTTATCAGGTTATCAATTCGCTTAATTGCGCATTGCAAAAAAACAGCCAGAACGGATATGAGCAAAGAATCCAAGACTTGAATACTTGGAATTTGTGATGGTAATGTGATGGTAATGTCAAGTTATAGTTTACTTATATATGTACATATATTGTGTACTCCCCTCTGATGATTCATCTTACAGCCCACCTACATGTTTCAAAGATACATACGCATCACATTCGGATATCTGAGTAACGAGTACATGCAAAGCCGAAGTTTGTCAAGTGGCCAATGCAACTGCAGTTCCTTCTCTAATATTCACTTTGGAGAATTTATTTCCTTAATGCAAGGGCACGAAATCAACAGATGGGTGCATGTTGCACATTATCGCATTCATTCACACACACACACGTGCATCATCATCTATGGATGCCCGCATATAATTAAAAGTACACTAAATAAATGAAAGTTTCAATTGTCGCAAAACGTCTTACACATATGTATGTCTTATTTTCAGTATACATAAGAATGTATTATGTATATACATGTGTAAATACAGATACATATGTATCTATGTGTATCTTTATGCTCGAGATAAAAAATCTACGAGTTTTATAGCTCGTCTTTTCAAATAACAGCACATCGTTCATTAGCAGGCACTTTTAAATTAGCTGGCAACGTAAAAAGAAAACCGAAACAAGTGTCTATTGTCGGACTTAAATAGGCGTATGTATTTATAATTACTTTAAGTATCAACTCGTACGTATGTACGTCTACCGCGTAGTATATACAGCGTCAAAATGATATTATGAACTGAGCGAGCATTTGACAGGGCGGCACAACAACCTGTTGCTATAATATATCGAAATATATATAAATTATCGATAATTGTCGAGATTGTCGACATTTCATATGACATTTATATCGATTTAGTCGATTGCACGTACGTCTCTAGGCACAGCCAAAACAAACCGCAAAGCAACAATAATTTGACTGTGTTAAGCTGATGCCACGACAACTTGATAATGAATAATCGCGTGCGCATTGTCGTAGTTGGTGATTCGGGTAACTGTTGAATATGACGCAGCTTTTTGAATATTTCATGATTAAATTTCTTTTAGGTGTAGGCAAAACCTGCTTAACGCATTTAATTGCACACAATGAGTCGTTGATACGACCAGGCTGGACGGTCGGCTGCAACATACAGGTCAAAATTCACGAGTTCAAGGAGGGAACTGCACGTCAGTGCCCCTATTTTATTGAGTTGTTTGACATTGGTGGCTCACTCAGTCACAAAAATACGCGCAGCGTCTTCTACAGTGGCATACACGGCGTTATATTGGTACACGATCTGACGAATGGCAAATCGCAGGAGCAGCTGCTCGACTGGCTCTACGAGATTGTCAACAAAGAGGGAAAGGATACGTACAAATGTCGCAGTGCCTCGTTGCCGCCATCGCCATCGCCCGTCTATGGCACCGATGCCCATATGCGTTTTGATTTGGAGGAGTTCTTAGGCTCCACACAAATACCAATACTGGTAATGGGCACCAAGCTGGATCTGATCGATGAGAAGCGTCAACCTAAAACAGCTGTAAAGAAAGCCGGCGGTATAGGTCAGTATTGACAGTTGGCCACTTTTAATCTGTGTAACTGTGTTTCGCCTTGCAGCGGACAAATGCGGAGCCGAAGAAATTTGGCTTAACTGTCGGGACACACGCAGTTTAGCTGCCGGCACTACCGATGCGGTAAAGCTGTCGCGCTTCTTCGACTGTGTCATCGAGAAGCGCGAAAGCAACGGTTGTTCTGGCGCGCATATGGTCGGCCCCAATGCCACCGACAGACGCCGAGCCGCTAACTCACAGCCCACCAGCCCAGAGTTTCCGATGCATGCAGGCAAAACGTCAGCAGACGTCAACAGTTTTGTACCGCTGCTGGAAACTAGCGACCTAAAATAAACCATCAATAATTAAGGTTTAAAAGTTAAAATTTAAGTAAATATATAACAACTTATATACTTTTACACTAAAAACTAAACACTAATCTGGCTGCCGTTTAGGATTGGGCGCTGCCGCGCATCATTCGCCGATACCACTCGGGTAATACTGGCTTTACATCCGCGTCCCGCAGCACAGAGTACAAAATCTTATTTCGATCCGCGCTATAGTCAATCATCACAATTGCGTGCGAGTCGTTAATTCGCTGCATTATTGATCTGAGCTCGTGCAGAAAGTCTGACAGGAATGTGGCCATGGCAGCTGGGCTCCAAGGCTTGTGGCGGTGTAGTTCGCGCACGCTATATTCTTTAATTTCATGAACCAGCCCATTATTGTCGCGCAAGCCCGCTACAATAGTGCCAATGCCAACCAAAAACGACTGGCTCCACCAGTTGAGGCTCTTGTAATTGTCAAAGCTGCGCTGCTGTTTCTTTGTCATGTTGTGGGCGGTAGTCTTAAGCTCCACAAACTCAGCTAAACGCAGCTGAGCTGGGTCGTTCAAATCTCTATAAGAGATAAGCAAATAATTTTCGGATTTGAAATATTACTACTGTTTAAACATACATAGAAACGTTGCTCTTAATGCAGTCCATCTCGGCGCCGTAGATGAGGCGAAGTCCATTTAGTTTGCTGCGATAGATGCAGGCAAACTCTTTGGACTCATTTACTGGCTCGTTTGTAATAGGGGCAGTGTTTGGTATCTGTGTTGTGCAGTACTGCTCGAACTTGAAGCCCCACGAGCACAAGTCCAGTTGATTTCGTGTCATTTGTTCGCGTTCGATGCGCTGCTCCTCGGTCTCGACTTTGGATATGTAAATGGTGCCGTTAAAACGCGTTGCCACAAGGCGATAGTCGCGATTTCTTTCGTATGGCGTGCTCATTATCTGGCGCAGAATGCCGCGTAACGTAACGAAATCAGCAGGCAGCTCAAGACGCCCAGTAGACGACGTACGCAAGAGCTCCTGATGGTTATAGATGTACTGGCAGATCTGGTAAATATCATGGTAATCGGGGTCAACGCCCTTGCGTTGCACATTCTCAATGCCAGCATTGAGATCCAGCGGCATATCACCGGGGTGCGGCAGGCGCAAGAAGCACGAATTGTTGGCGTTGTCCTGGAACTCCCGTGCCTCGTTGACGCTGTAGAATCCAATAGGCTCAGGGCGGCTAAACTCTGGAAAAGCACCGGAGAAGGTTCCACCGAACCTATGCAGACGCACGTCCACATGAAAAGAGTGCTTGTCTTTCTTGCCGGGATAAGACATTTTGAAAGTAATTGTAAATATACAACCAAAACATGGGACAATTACCCGTTTTTTAAAAGAAATTTGGGCTGTTTATGTCTTATCGATATATCGATATATATAGTTTTGAATAGCGATAGTAGTGCGGCAACGTGACAAATGATATATGTGTTCCTTTGAAAAAGTGCCGATATTTTCAAACTATACTGATCTACAAATATAAAAAAATTGTATTGCAAAATAAACAAATATGCTTTATTTATCGTATGTCGCCCACAATGTATCGATGCATTTTCATGTGCCATCGATTATGCTGCCTATCGGTGGATGGCTGCTATCGCTATCACAAACAAAACAACTGCATCCGCCGAGAAACTTCGCCCTAGAGATATTCCATTGTAGTATCCATTTCGCAACAATGAGACAACAGCGAGAATGCATCGTTGTCAATATGCGTTCGGCAATAGTACTGATCATCATATTTGTGCTGACCGGCATAAAAAATAGCGAAACCGCCAGCGGAGGCAACCAAATGGATCTAACGGATGTTAAGAGTGATCAGCGCAAGGACAACAGCAATGCGGGCATCAATAATAACAACGACAATGAGGTATTTGTGCCTGCACTGGGCAACATGGGTAGCAAATCATCATCGGCTGGGGACAACACTAACGGCAATAGCACCACGAATATGCTGTGCCCGCTGGACAAGGAGATGCCTTGCGAACGGCTGCAATTCCCATGCATACGCTGCAGCTATAATTTCAACTGCCTGTACGGCCGTGATATTAACATCACCTGCGAGGCGGCCAGCAATGTGCAGTGCCAGGGGGAGCGTTCGTTTCAGCGTACAATGAACTGTCGCTATTGCTACCAAACGGAGATGTGGCAGCAGAACTGCGAGCAGCACGCCAATTGCAATTCTGCAGCAGATAGATACTATCGCACCAACTGCACTGTGCACCAGGATGTACTCTGCCTGGGCAGTCGTTCGTTTACCCGCAATTTACGCTGCAACTGGACACAGGGTTATCGCTGGAGCACCGCGCTGATTATCAGCCTTACACTGGGTGGCTTTGGTGCCGACCGCTTCTATCTGGGCCACTGGCAGGAAGGCATTGGCAAACTGTTCAGTTTTGGTGGCCTCGGCGTCTGGACAATTATAGATGTTCTGCTCATATCCATGCACTATTTAGGCCCCGCCGACGGTTCGCTCTACATTTAATCCGGCTAGAGAGCCCGTTTTGTCATTGCTTATATGCAGTGGACAGTCGGAATGGGTTCTGCATTTGATTACCTATGATGCGTATCATATAAGTACAACTTTTGTCATTTTTGCAAGGAATGAAGAAAAGATTGTATATTCTTAATACAGAGAAGAAGACAACTGACGAAAAACCTAGCTAAATAAGATAAAAAGTAAAGGTAAACTTTATAAAAAATAATTTTAAGCTTTAAACTAACTTTGAGTTGTTATTTAGATAAATATTTTATGCTAATTTACGAAATACGGTCTAGTTAAGCTATTTATGTATATATGTGAACAACGCATCTAGGTAAGATTAAATGTGCTCAACATTTTAAATAGCCAATTAGGATAAGTACAAAGCATTGTTCAAAAGCATGTTATATATAAGAGGAGACTGTCTATGAGTAAATGTAAATAAATATATCTACATATAACCTACATTCTACATCTCAGACCACAGGGACATCGGTGGTAGCGAGAGCAGATGAACTGGCAAGAGAGGGAACTACCGATTCCCTCCTCTGCAATGATCCAGTTGCAATCTCTAAATCCGAAGACAATAAGAGCTGCGGGTACTCACAGATACTGCATGCAGGGTCGCCCGACGCGCTTGTCCGCTTCGCTGTAGGAAATGCTCCACAAAGCTATGATGGCTAGATAGTCCCAGCTGTGCATCAGTAGTCCGAGCCGTTACTGGACTTTTGCTTAGCCCATTATAACGACTTCTGCGGAAGACGCGGGAAATTTCGCTTCTGTTCTGCGCCTGTCTAACTTTATGCAAAGATAGATTCCGTGTACTTGTACAATGACACATTACAACCATCAGGGCCTCGGCTTGGAGCTAAGTGAACTAACGGGAGTTGGATTAGGATACTGCGACATCGAAAAACGCACTCAATAACAAATTTCTGTATAGTATGGCCTTTGGAAAATTGGATGTTTTAAGCATCCGTCTTGTACATATTTGGAAAAACTTTTAATCGACAAGCATTCAGTTGTAATTTAATAAAGTACATATATTTCTTTTAATTTTAATATGCATACAGACATATGTAGATAGGTTATTTCAGTTCTTTGTACATTGTTTGTGTTAAAATCAAAATTAGATATCGGATGGGATGCTGATGCTGGAGGCCGGGTCGTTGATCACTTCATCATCTGCATCGTCAAACTTAATGTGCTTGGCCAAGAGCTTGGCAACCTTTTCGCGCCCGCGTTTCTGTTGCACACGTACCTTTTTGGACAGTTTGGCCTCGCGATCCTGTTCGATTTTGCGCCAGTATTGAGTCTCTGGCTGGCCACGCAGTACTTTGAACTGCATTTCGGCG